TTGTTTCTACTAGCTTCTTGTTACTACTAGTAAGGCACTTGTTACTAGTGGATTCCAGTCTTTTCACGTCTGATTTGACATCATTTTTTGGTTGACGAACAATGTAAACGTCTTTTGAGGGATCTCCACACTCTCAGTCAAGGCAGGCCTCTTCGTCGGTTTCATCGCGGAACAACAAGCCTCGCTGAGACATGCCCCTGACTCGACAACAGGGCTTGCAGGCGTTGTCATTAATTGCCAACTTGGCAGATGTCATCCAGGAAAATGAGATGGCTATGGCCATGGGTGGAAAATAGGAAGCTGCTTCATCCCAAAGATGGTCCCTTGGTCCTCAAGGAATGAGCCCAAACAAAGCACTTTCGTGAAAGTGCGGCTATTTCGTCAGAAAGTGCGGCACGCAAACAGGCTTGGAGGAAAATGGTTGCCGCACTTGTGAGTCATGAGAAGGACTCCTTACTCCTTGTGAGAGTTGCCAACACGCTCTGTTTCACAGCATGGACATGATATCACAAGACACGTGAACTTGTTAAGTGACGTTGCTCATCAGTTGCTCCATAGGCATCCAGCTCAAAGGCCAAAGGTATCCATGGAGTTTTTTGTGGCATATATTATATGGGTGTGTATTTTACTAGAGAGACCCCCAACTAATGGGTAGACTAGTCTATTTCCCTTCTTCTTGCAGGCGGTCGAACTGGGAGGTCTCCCTGCCCTATTCTAATACACACCGGAACCATATATGTGGCTGAGCAAGGAGGGTCTTGCTCACAGCCAAACATCACAGCCCGGGCACATCGCAGGCATCTCCAGGCAGTCGCCACCACAACAGCATCCACGTGCTGCAGGAAGGGAGTGATCTGGGCCAACAAACAAAAAACACTGGATAGACATGGGTGGCATGGCCCTGAAAGTAGAGGAGAATAGTCTTGAGAAGGTCGTTTTCCATGACTATCAGTAGTGGATCTTGTTGATTATTGATTCTTGTCATGGCACATATCATCCAAATATCTACTACTGTTTGATTTCGGACTTTCTTCAAGATTCAAGATTCACATTGTTTGTTTAGTCTCACTATGTTCCCAAGGCCACTAGTGTGTGAATTCATGTTGCGATCTGTGGGGAGTGGTGACATCCAACATGTTTCAACCCAAAAAGTCGTCGCATTAAACCTGATACCTCAAGCCCTGTTCTTGAGAATGTTCAGGTGCAGCACGGGATGGTCAGGCTTGAACCTTTGGCTTAGGCCCAGCTGATGAGATCTCAAGGTGAACAAAAGCTGGGCGATGACGGATAAGATTTGATATACAACTATGGCAATGGCCGATTACAAAATAAAGCATGCTAAAAGCATCTAAAAGCAAAAAAACATCTAAAAACAGTGTGGCCCTCACCACGAAAACTCCTTGCACGTCTTCAGCGAGTAGTTGCCCAAAAATCCCAGATTGCTGTACAGTGCAGAAACCCAAGATGTGCAGATCTATATCAATTTACTGCAAGACCACCCCACCCCAAGATAAACCCAAACAAACCCTTTAAAGGACTATGTTGTGCTCAAGATTTTAAGAAGATCAGCTGGGTTGAATCTTGAATTCTCTATGAACTCGACGCCAGGACCCTGTGACCGGGGGTCAAAAATGGACCAAACCACTACCGGAATCTTCCCACTAACCCAGTGACCGGGGCCCATGCTGAGCGCGCGCTGACTTGATCCTAGCAGCATAGGCCACGGCTTCGGGAGGAGCAAGATCAGCTGCCAACCACAGCCTCAATCGCTGAATCATATGTCGATCATTACTCCAAGCCAAATTGGAAAAAACAACTTGGCTTTGGCCCCAGATGAAAACCCAACAGTGGATATTCATCCCCACATTCCGGTTTAAAGCCACTGCCTTTTGCGCTAGCTTGTTGAACTCGGATGGGCGATGTCAGCAGTTGAGACTTGGGGAGAGGGACACCCATACCTGACAGAAAAACAATATACACCAAAATCCATTGGTTTGGGGAACCCCCTATTGAATTGGAATACACACCCATGCCCATATCAACATGTTTCTCTCTTTCTCTCTCTCTTTAACAAGCCTTGACCCTTCCGCATTCAGAAGACTCCCCCATTCCGGACTCATCCGACTTTGGCAACTTTTCTTCTTGAGAGTCGGTGACTTGCAATTGCTGGCGACATCCATTGCTTTGTAAGTCCAAGAACCCTCCCAGCCCAACCACCCAAACTCCCATCTGAGTGGCAGCCACTGATCCACTATGCAGCTCTGCAGCTCAAACGACACATGAAACGAGCTATGTGCGAAGTCATATCTAACGAGCCCATGAGTTGAAACCTTAAACTTCAGCCCAGGGACGCACATCGAATCTCTTGTGCGTTCCGCCACGTGGTGGTGTTCTGCCGCGCGGACAAAAGCTCCAAAAGGACCTGACGAGGCCACTATGGCAGGCCTGATGGGGACCCCATCAGGGTCTTAGCCACAAATAGCCTATCAAAATTTGGGGTAGGACTGTCAGGCTCATCGAATCAGCGCTCTAAGGTCTTCTGGAATAAATACCGGCTTGGAAAAAAACATAGAAATGCAACACAATCAGTTGGTGGGCCCAAAACATTGAGGATTCAAACCTCTCTCATATATTCTTATATTGTATACTGTAGATTGGGTCAGCACCCTGCCCTGACAGCCCCAGCAACATTAAGGGGATCATTGGTTCTTTCCTCAGTGCAACCACTCACGCTCTCCCAGCCGCATCATTCTGGCCTCCCCAAAGTGCCGCCCCTGCCAAAAAGTGCCGGACATCAAGTGACCAAGTTGGATGATGCCATGTCTAGGCCGCATCAATCAGGGGGGACCCCTGGCCGATTTGGTTTCCATCTACTTATCCCATTAACGATTATATAATGCATTATAATGCGTATATACTTATTATGTATTAATATTAGAGAGCTCGTCACTGTGAGCGTGCACTTTTTTTAAGCATTTCAAGCTGCCAAATCTTGCTGTCTAAAGTTTTCAGCTCATACCAAAGCCAAAACTTCTCATGTGGACTTCCAACAAACAACAATATTTCAATAGAGATTCTATAGCAATCTTACTGATATGCACTAGTGTGTTTAATTAATAGCAACCCACCAAATAGAAGGATTTACATAGCAAAAATATTGATATTCTACAGAACTTGTCCCATGAGATTAGATCTACAGATGGTCCCTCAGCTTTCTTCACTTCTTGTACTTCATGGACTTGCCCTTCATGACCATCTTGTTGCCAGACGAGGGTTTGCCAATTGCATTCTTCGTGTTGGACTTCTTGCCACATAGGTATGAGACAGACTTTGCATTCTTGAAGAGGTTTGGCAGCCGAGTTGGATGCAAATACCGAATGTTGCCACCCTCAATGGACTCGTTGTGACGCTTGGACAGAAGCAACAAGAAGAATTTGTGCCGGTGGGCTCGCATCTCATTGATGATAGGGGAAAAGTTGCGGAACCACGAGAAGACCTGTTCGCAGATCGAAGTGTTCTCTTTGTGAATGCGCTTCTCCAGCTTCTTGCGGTAGCCTAGGTAGGCTTGACTTAAAGTAAATACGAAACTATACAAAACGACACATTCATAAGGACTAATGCAACAACATGTGCCTCAATAAACTTGCAAAAAAATGATTGTGGTCGTCTCGATAGAACAGAATCCATATTGATTGACTTGGTGTTGAAACAAACAGACAGGACACGAGGATTGCAAGGGCAGGTTCGCGAATGACCATGAGAATGAAAACCATCCACGACATAGTAGCCGATCTGATTCAAGGCCTCATTCGACTCCCCACATGACTTGAAAGCGCATGCTCTGTCGTAGACAAGGCAATCCAGTTTCGGGTACAACCAGATGACGTTCTCCACAGCCAGAGTTGCGACCTGGTTGCCTTCAGGCTCATGCATGACCTGCAAGCTGATGATGCGACCGGACTTCGGATCACACGCAAGCATCCAGCCATTGGTGTAGTGCCCGGTGGTGTGCTCAGACTTCCTAGGACGGCCTGCGCGCTTCATTGGCGCCATATCACACTGCATCTTCAGCTTCTGGTTTCCATCAAGGACTAAGGTCTTCACCTGCTGACGCTTGTGTGGAGGAAAGGTAGATGAGTGGCAAAAGGAATCGTAGAGGTCAAGATGGGTATCTTGGATCTCCTGTTCGATCATGATATCCTGATTCAAGCCCAACAACTCGAACTCCCTCACAGCCATGTAGTAGAACAACGCAGACGCATGCAGCTTGTCAAAGTTCTGAAGGATTGACTCTTGGGAATCTCCGTGGACAACGTGGTAAGCGCACGACACAGCAGCACTTGAGAGATGACCACGGAACAGAAGTTCTTCATGATACTGGATGTATTTCAAAGAAAAGGCCTTCTTCGAGTTCACAAACAGAATGTTGTCCTGAAAATCCTTTGTTTCAGCACCTTCTTGCCTGCTTCCCAGCGATAGTTGTAGCCATAAGAAGCGCGGCAAGAACGGGAAGTACAGTTCTTCTGCGCGTGGACGATTTTTCGAGGACCATCTAAATCGTACAGCAAGGCATCGACGGACAAATGGTAGATGAGGGAACCAGAACAACCTTCACAGACACACTTGCTCAGAGGACATGTGAAAGTCTGCGGACTAGAACCTCTCACAGCATCTAAGGTCACTAATGCTGAGTAGGATTGTTTTCGCAAGTAGTAGAAGGTGTACTGGTCAGATGACAACATGTCCATTGCCACACCAGCAGACACCACTGAGGTGACATCACCATCCTTCTTGAGGAGCAAACCTTCTCGATGCTGCAAGGCAAAGAAGTGCTTCATGTCCTTGTCATGCACGATGTAGCTGCCATCCGGCAAAGACTTTCGACAATGCTTCTGACACAGTTGGACGCCAAAGGGAAGTAGCAGACTATTGCCGTAGGAAACTGAGAATGGGCCATCTTGATCGCAAACCACCGGAAGACCAATATTTTGCATGGCCATGATCAAGCACACATCTTTGAAGCCATTCTGGCAGCCAGGACCTCCATATTCTAAGTCAGGAGCAGCACCAACGCGAGGCATCGGATCTTCGTCATCAGAGGGAGGATGAAGTCCAGGCAAAGTGTCCGGATTGGGAATGTCTTCTGTCCTTCTCTGTCTCTTGTGTGGTGGCGGGGAAGGTGTGTCCAAGACAATGGGTTCACTAGAGGTAAAGGCAAGGCTCTGGAACTTCAAGGAAGGCTCTTCCTTAACGGTCCAACCTGCACTTGCACGATCTGTGTCTACATCCACAGGATCTCCACGTGTCGCTGTGGCCAACCATGCATGCGCATCCGGATGCTCGGCTGGCTCCAACTTGGGTACGCCAACCAAAAGAGCAGGGGCAGGGTGAGGAATTGACAATGAACTCGATGCCGGCCTTGAAGAAGCAGGTGCAGCAGGCAAAGCCCCATCAGCCCGAAGCAACGCATCCAAACCAGGCGTGGAAGTCAAAGGAGTAGCAGGACAAGCTGGCGAAGCAGGACGTACAGGATGATCATGTCGACGGAATAGCTCTTTCAACCATTCAGTCTCCCATGCCACAGATGCGGAATAAGTATCCGGCTGAGGCCCACCATTTTTCCAATTCTTCAGGGTTGGCTTGCAATCTGGAAGAAGAATGTCCTTTGAATCTGAGTTGGTCCAAAAAACACGCTGCATCTTGACATGCTTCTCAGTGGGTGGTCGGAAATAGATGTACTTCTCAGCAAACACGATGAAGGCAGCCCTTTTCAGAATTGCCATAGCATCGGCATTGGCGATGTAGCCCACGGCTGGACGGACCAGCTTCATGAAAGACTCATGGGAGACTTCTGCTGAGAAAACACCATCAACATCGCCTTCTTGACCCTCTGGGTTGTACTGGTTGTCTACGACGATGCGAAGCTGATGCATCACGAACTTCGCTGCTGTCCACCTGCCCAAGAAAATTAATGATTTACATTCAAAGACATGCATGTCAAGGGAAAACACAATATGTGGATTGCACATGTGATGTGACATTGCAGAGCCCGGCCTTTCTTTCAGGATGGTCTCAGAATCTCCCACATCTGAGAACGCCTTTTTCTTTTTGATGGTCTCATTACCGATTTCACCATCGTCAAAAATGGCAGGCGTGGCCTTGTCGAAGAAGATGCCACGAAAGAAATCAAACCCCGGGGCTGACCTGAACTGACCATTTCCTCCATGATATCGCGAAAACATCATGGAAAGAATTCGAGCGAGAGGGGTTTTGTCGACACCGGACTCTCCGAGCAGCCACAGGGAATGTCCACGAAGATGAGGCAAGAGATCTTGCAAGATGGTCAAGATTTCTGGCTGAATGGCTTGGATGGTCAAATCATATCTGTCAGACAATTTGGCCAGACATCCGTCATTAGCAAGACAATCAAGAGCTCTCTGAACCAACTTCTCGTTCCAACCATGGATCGGAGAACCTTCTTTTTGGATGTGGCGATGGAACCAGCGCATCTGCTTCAAGTTCTCCTTGTCTCTCTCACCGTTGCTGATGATGAAGTCCCATCCTGCATCCTGTTCATCTTCTCCTTGAGGGGCACGTGCTTTGTTGGATCGGACCTTCTCCGCGGAAAGAGAGAAGTGACGAAACTGATGCCCACCCAGGCACTCCAACATCCACTGGAAGCCACGGCGAGCTTGCTGTTTGTTGAGGGAGGCCCAAGCAATCTCCTTGCCTTGACCACGCACGAGCTTGGCAACATATGCGCCCTTGACTTTGTCACTCTTGACGTAGTAATGCTTGAGGACACATAGTTTCCCATTGGTTTGTGGAAGCAAACAAAAATGGGACAAGCAAGAGAACGTGGGGCGTTCCTTCAAGGTAAGTGCTTCAGGAAGCTCTTGCCAAGCCTTGTCTCTGATGATGGCTTTCAGATTGTCCATGTCGATCGAGGAGGGCTCGACATCATAGATCAAATCAACGAAGTGCTTGATTGAAGGAGTAGAGTCCGAAAGCCTGAGAAGCATAAGAAAGAATCATGCATAAATATCACATGTGATGGGGTATGGCCTATCGACTTTCGATGACACTTGAAGACAGACAAGAAACTCCTTCAAAGGTAGACAGATCGGAGTGACCGAACCGACCGGTAGAGGGCCAACATGAACATGAGCTGGAAGTTCTCGCAGCGTGAGGTGCTGGGTCGCTGCGATGGCATCGCTCAGGGACATATTATCGCCCTCCACCTCCATGGCCATAGAGTGTTGAAGGGCTCGAAAGATAGCACAGAAGCAAATTGAACGATACAAGGATGACTATGAGCCAGACAGGATGGGCATAGGAAGTTTCTGAAATTGCAAAACTAAAAAAACAAAAAAGAAAACAAACTCATGGCTTGCAGACGGTCTTGGGTCCAAAGGTTTTCTTTTTGGTTTTCCTGAGTGCAGTGTCCAAAACCTGTTGAAAAACAAAAAAACAGACTCATGGATTGCAGAGGGTCTTGGGTTGGTTGGGTTGTTTTTCTTTTTTTTTTGTTTTTTTTTGGTTTTTTTTTTTTTTTTGGTTATGTGACACTGAAGACACTGAAGCATTTAGTAGAATACACTCACTGAAATATAGTGTTTTTGCACTAGTCTACTAGATATGCGAGAATACAGTGAAATATTTAAAGTTTTAGCGCACGCTGGTGGTAACGTGTTCTGTAATATTATATATATGTGTATATGTGTATTAGTATACACATAGTAATGATGGCCTGTCTCTGGGGGGGGCCCTCTCGGACAGAGACATCGCCAAGGGCGGACCTGACACCGGATGGGTCAACACCGGACCTTACACACACACGGTAAACGTGGTATCAGTAATTGATCATAAACGAAGATGTCTTATAGAAGAGATAGCTAAATGTGCATTAATCAATATCTTTGATATGCTTTGACTTGGACACTGTGTTTACATGTTTACATTGTCGGCGGCATGTGTTTCGTGAAGGTGTTGTTTTGTGTTCTCGTTGCAAGATGATTCCTGAATGATATCATCAAATATCGAACCTTACAACACTATGTTAGCATCTGTGTTTTCCATGTCATTGTCTGTCCGTTTCTATTCTTCGCGACATCTATGCGATTCCTACTTTGGCAACTACTGCACTTCCCGTTGCTCTGCGGGGAACTGGTCAAAGCTTCATGTACCTCTCTGCATGGAGATCCTGTCGCCTCCGCCATCAGCTGAGTCGCTTTTTGTCAGAAGGTGCCAGCAACGATGTGGGCCTTTGTTTCCATCCATCGCATCTGTACTGTACAGTGGCAGAAGTGGGATTTCATAACGCCCCGACCCGTGACGTGAACGTGCAGTGACGTGAACGTATTTCGTCCTGTACAAGCTTGCATTTGAGCCACTGTCAAACCATCTCAAGCACCATCATCGACAAAGGATCTAAAGATTCTTGGGTCATTGAAACGCTAAACCACTCCCTTTGGCGGAGGCTCATCTGTGCCACGGCAGCCTTTTGCCGTGAGCTAGTAATTAGGGATCGGGGCATCATGGCTAGGACCGCTCACGACTGTCCTGTCCAATCGACTGGAGCAGAACACTAGAAGGGTGCCTTGACTTTCTTGGTCGGAGCAGGGAAAGGCTTTCGGAGACCGTTCTTGAAGATCACTGGCTTGTACTCATCAGGAACGCTCTTGTGCATTACGGGGCTATTCCGATAGCGTTCCACGTGAGCTTTGAAGCCCTGGTGGGGACCGCTCCAGGTGACTTCGCAGACCTTGCTCGTGGGCAACGCCCAGGCGGAAAAGCCATGAAAGGTGTTCCACAAGGCATCCACACCAGGGGCGTCCTTGGATTTGCAGCAGCTTGAAACAACATGAAACAACTGTATCACTGTATTGCCCACAAACAAACAAATCCTAAACAATTCCAAGCATCTACCATATTTACGAAGGCATAGCCCAGATTGGCCTTGCGGTGAAAGTCACATGGCAAATACACGAAGTCATAGCTTCCCCGGAAGCCCTCACTGTCCAACATCTCCAGGAACATCTCACGGGTGTAGTTGTTGGGCAAGTTCCGCAACATCACCGTGGTCCGCTCTTTCCGGTAGGACATCCGGTGTCCGGGTTCCGCCACACCTCCACAGGCGGTCTTAACTGGCGCAGTGGTTGGTGTCGGAGGCGCCAGCGGCGCCACGTGCGGCCTGGGAGCAGTTCCCAACTCATAGACCTCAAAAGGATCAGAAGTCAAACGTCTGGGTCATCTGAGTGACTCCAAGTTCAACCAGCCAACCTCCAAAACTGACTGACGTCATCTGTGTGGCGGTCAAAACATGCTAGTCATTCCGCTGCCATGCTATCGCTCTTCAAGGTTCCCTATCGCAACACTCAACTAACAATTCTGGGTGGTTCCCTTAGAAGTCCCCCATGTAAGCCATTGTTTCAGCAAATTACAAAATATTACAAAGGCCTTTGACAATCTCTTTGCTACGTGGCTTGAGGAAACGCTACCATAGCGTGAATTGTGGCTCTACACATGGGAAGGTGGCTAGGCCTGGACTTCTGAGGCATCGCTCCAGGTATCGTTTGGTATTGGTTTGGGTATCGCTCTAAAAGCCACGTTCTTTGGGAGTAAGCGTATTCCTGGCACAGGTATCGCTCTTCAGGGTTCCCTATCGCTACACACAGTGATTGCAAAGTTTTACCAAGTCAATGGCGGTTCACCTCCCAAACTCTTCAGAGGATGCTCGCCCTGACTCTGGCAAGTCTTGAGGAAACCCCACTCCCTCTCGAGTTCAAGTCATGAATAGAATGGCCCGAACAGGTTTGACCATGCAGTTCGCCTGCACTCGAGCCTTCTGTGGACAACTCTGCGAGCAACGAGGCTTTGGGTCTCAAGGGGCCCTTCTTGATCTCCGACCCTCAAACCAACAAACACATGGGTGCCGTTGGTCATAGGCTCTTCCCCAATCCCCCAGGCAACCAGCCTCAAGATCTTCCATTGCTCTCTCAAGGGCGAACTCGGTCTTGGCCCGTCGGAGCTTTCGGTAGCGTTGCATGAGGCTCTGCCCGTCATCCATGTGCAGGAAGGTGCTTCGGACGACCAAGTGACAACTGCCTGGCCACGAAGCATGGTCGCACATCTTAGACTCTAGAGAACTTCCAGGCAAGAGGAGACGGGCATCGCAACAGGAACGATTGAGTCTGGCTTCGTCTTGAACAACAACGAAAGCTGGAATGCCCCATGCCAGTGATTCACTCTTGACCATCTATCGATGCCAGATATATTCTGGGGGTGCTTAGCAAACGTGTGACTCTCTGGCCTTCCTCTTCCCAAACGTCCGAGATATCCTTGGAGTTGAGACACATTTGGAACATTTAGCTGAGAAACACTTGGAACATTTTACTTTATACATAGACCTGGAAATCGACAAACATTGCTTGTGGACAAATGAATTGCAAGCAACTGAGGAAAAACAATACATACAAACATATCATATGTAATATAAATAAACAACAGAGTCCTGGGGAAAAAAAACAGAAAAAACAACTGTGAGGAATTCAAAACCAAGTGTCAGAGCGAGGGGATGGACGATGGGAGGGCATCTCTGCTGTAGTGCTGACCGCATCGCTCAAGCTCTCCACTTTCTCCAGGGCCACTGCTGGAACGCGCAACATGGCACTTGGATGGCGACGGATAACTTAGATCCGTTTCCCGCCGTTTGTCGAGGATTCGCACACCTTGAGCCTACTGAAACAAAGAAACAAGTCAAATGGAGAGAGCGGATTGCAAAGCTTATGGCCAAGCAATTGTGTCCAAAGAAACCCTCAAACGCAAAGAACATCCCAAACGTTGAGGAGTATCAAATGAGCTATATACTGTAATGTGCCGGACCAAAAACCCAAGTTGATGTCATTATATTAGGTATCACTTTAAAACAAATCATCAAAAACGAGGTCTTACGGTCTTACATATACTGGCTTATTGTGTAATCTTATGTAGGTGTTCATTTCTACACCACCTCGATGTTCCTGGCTTTTTTTTGGGTGCTTGCTCGCCACTAGGCACCTCTGCATCTGCGGCATCCGTAGGAAGCCACACCGCCAAGGAGAGCGCCAAGCGAGGTACCGGGGCAGGAGCAAGAGCCAACACACTCAGCAGCTGAAGCCAGTCCTGGAGATGGCTGAGATCCTCTTCTGAAAGGCACGTCGAACCACCTAGAACACCGGTTGTCCCAGGCATGGACAAATGGCCTTCCCATTTTGAGGGAGTCGCACGTGCGCCCACACATAGAGAATTATGAATAATTTTACATTTCAAATTTGGCCAATGTTGTGCACCCCAGTGCTGTACTGTATCATGCCTCGTCAGCTGCCTTTCCTGGTCATACTATGCCAATCTATGCCAACTTGATCCTCCTATTGAGTCTTGAAGTGTTCTACCTGGCCGCGATCCTGTTAAACACCGGCCAAGACACGCTCACCTGAGATTCATTAGTGGCTCACCACCTGAATCTCTTTTGGCTATTCTACATGTAACGAATGCAGTAAGCCTTACATGTGTTGGAATAAACGAAGCTTCAGAACGACTGGAGCCACAAAGTGGTGAATCCATGGAGCCACAAAATCCAACAGACCAGCAACTTGCCTTTTTGAAAAATGATGCGTTGAGGAGGGCCATGGACTAAGTCGACTAAAAACACGTTGTCCTGCACGTTTGCAGCTAAAGGCTTTAGACTTCGACTGTCCGATGCATCAGTCGGATCGAGGTGTTTCGGCACACCGGTCCATAGATTCAAGATGTTCTTCTCTGCGAAACACGCGCAGTGCCAAGGCCATGCGCAGCAGCAGCTGGGTCTGGGAGCGCAAGACTGGGAACAAAGGAAGAACCAGGTGGGTCTGCATCTAAGGTGCTTATGTAATGAAGGGACAGGAGGGAAAGAAATATCACAATCGTTCACCAAACATGGATTCTTATGGATTCTTAGTAGGGTGGTCATTGGGATGATTCTCACAGCCACCCCCAACCACCCTGTGTTTAGCGATTTAAGTCTCGAGTCTCAAGGCGACATGACTGCAGAACCCTCTTGTGTCTCAGTGCATCAGAGGGAAAGTAGCTTGCTACCAGTAGTAATGCACCTTGCTACTAGTAGCGATGCACTTTGCTACTAGTCCATTGGCAGCGTGTCTTCTTTCTTCAAGGTAGCGCCTACAACTCCTAGAGCCCGGAAGACATCATGTGGTATCAGGTCGGGAGGAATTCTTGAAGAGCCGGCGGCTGGGGGACCGCTCTCCCAGTTCCGTCGTGACGCTTGAGGGCTGGCACGCTGGCAGGACAGACATGGTGGCTTCAGTGAGCCGAGGAGGCCAAAAGCCAGCGCTACTGTGGTATCTACGTGTCCTGGTTGTTGTCTAAAGGTTGCCAAAAGGCAGCAAGATTGGTACTGCGGGTAGGAGAAGTGCAAGTTATGACGCGACAATTGGCGACTGAAGTCAGCATTCCGGCCAACTAGCATGGACATGGAACATGGGTTGGGTTCTGGGAACACTAGAGTCACTAGAGCCTTTACACTTCCGTGTTAACCAGTTGGAGAGTAGCTTGGATTCGTGGCATTGCATCCCCAGCCAAATCGGTTTTGATCCATTCACATCCATTCTTGTGTGTGTGTGACACCTTGACTCCATGCCTGTCATCCAAAAATATCCTGCCGTCCAAGTACAGCACGCAAGAGTTCTGGATCTGCCAGTCGTCCGCGTGGACCCCAGTCATCTTCCACCAGCTGATACAAGCCCGGCAGGAGCCTGGGACAAATCCGCACCCTCGAAGGGTAGTTTTCATCTCCCAAAACTAGACGTTCATGTCAAAAAGGGCTTATCAAGTTAACTTTCATGTATCATTCAGTGTTGTAGTCACCCTGCATGCTATGCTGGAAAAGGATCCCACAGACTGTAGATTGTAGTCCATCTCTATGCTGGCCAAACCTGTCCGTCTTCTCATCCCAAAACCGTCGTCCCGGTCTAACCTGGTCAAAAACCCCAAGTCACACAATTGCAAGGACAATCCCAGTTTGTCACACTTTGTTGGCCAAAACAACATCTACACCTACACCAATTAACCCAGCAAGATCTTCAAGGCTCCACTTAAAAATCTTTAAAACAAACATCCTGTCCTCACCTGTGAGCTATGCCCATCTTGCCCCGACTATAAGTAGTGGAAGATCTGCTCTTCCAGACACCCCAAAGGTGATATGCACCCTTGTTTCGATGAAAGTACCGCTGATCGCATCAATTGCAGTTACCTTCACTCATCCCACCTCTGATGCATCAACTGCTCCAACTCGGTGATCGTTTCTTTGATCTCCATCGTTTCACCTTGGAGAGACACACACACACACGAAGAGGACAAAACGAACCCTGCCTGGGCGTGTTGGTCAGACCCTGTGCGTGTTGTTGTTTGTTGCTCTCTAGGTCCAGTACTTTTGTTGGAAAGCCAAACAACTTGATTTCACGGCAGTGGGCGATATCTGCAATTTCTGGTTGACTGGAATTGCCAGTCAACCACCAAAAGTAATAGGAACATGTGCACAGTACGCAACAGCCTCCCAGTAAGGACAACTATTGCCACAATGGGATGTCACTAGTCTGGGAAGGAAAACCATTCCATAGTTCAAAATGAAGAGGAGCCTTGCGCTCAGCCGGAGCAAGGATTCCCAAGAACGAAATTCAAAGCCAACACAAGGCGGCCTAGGTGTCAAAGGTACAACCAGCCGGAGCAAGTTCTGTCGATTTTGGCACGCAACCATCCAATCCCCGTCCCCCATGAATATATAGCTTCTTCTCCTGCCCCGCAGCTTTGACCCGAAGCTGAACACCTGGTGATAGAGAAAGGCAGGCTCTTGTAAAGCAGAAAAGTAAGACATCACGGTTTCTATTTCTGTAATGTTATCTTACTTTGTGGGTGTTCACTACAGAATACAATCTTTCTCTCCCACTATCTCCCACTCCTTTGAAGCTCAGCGTGGCATCACTCAAACAAATGGATGCTAAGTCACCAAGCCACACTCTTAAAATGCCTCCCGGGAACGGTGTTCAATTGAGAAGGACAAAACGTATAATTAATAGAACACACATAAGCAAAAAATCTAAATAAAAACCAACAAACAGGTACCATCACCACGACAAGAAAAGCTCCTACTACGACTAAGACAACAACAAAAGGGCTGCCTGAAATGCCTAAACAGGTAAACAGCCCGCTGCGTGTTCTTATTTGAACCGAGCGACGAAGAGTTATGCTGTATGCTATTTATGCTGCCAAAAAAATACAAAAAGAGTCCGCTGGACCCCCTGGCAAAAGCCATTCCACTGTATATGCTCCAGTGACACTTATATATATATATGCAAATAGCCATTAAGGCTTTGAGGACATGTTTCACCCCCAAAAAAACCAGTCGTGTTTTTACTCGCAACATATGTTGGTTTGCTTGTGTGGTCATGTTTGTCATTTGGACCGGAGGATTTGGTTGGAGGGAATGCATTGCATAGTATATAACAAAATAAACCACCACCCACCAAATAAACAAATAAATGCAAGGAAAACGCTCAACGTATTTTGAAGGTCAGGCAGTTCTCGAAGAAGGTGATACATCATTTCCAGGCCTGTCACTTGCTCCTTGTAAACAATCTGAGAAAAGAGCCCGACATACATTGACAAGGGTGCGAGACATGCTTCTTCCATGCTGATGTCAACCCCCCTTCAGTGCTGGTCAAAGTTAGCGTGTGTTGGAGGAAACTTTAGACTCTAGACGAGGGCGAACGTGATGAGACACAAAAGAAACAAAGTACAAATGCAACACGTAATGTCAAGTTTCTCTCTATATATATATATCAATCCAGAAACCAAATCATCAGTGCGAGCGCTTCTTCAAGAAAGCCTCCCCGCCGCGGGGGGAGCTTCCTTGAAGAAGCATGAGCTATCCTGCGTCCATATGTAGTAGCTACTTGTAGGCAACTTGTAGGTACTAGCTACCTAGCAGCTACTACCTACCTCCTAGCGGCCTACCCCTCCCCGTCGGTAGGTCGATGTGCGTGCTGCCTTTCTCAGTCCTCGTCCTGAAAGCCAAGCACCAAGGATCCGCCTCACTGGGGCGTTGTGGACGCTGTTCTTTTCAACAAACACTCGGGTCTTGAGGGGCAGTTGCTGGTGATTTACTGGAGCCTGTATATTAAATGTTGGGTTGTTGTCCAAACAGGCCAAAGGCACCAAACCATGCTACGAAGAATGTGTTGTCTGATTCTGAGCAGCCAGCAGGCTTCCTTGCTTAAGAAACTTCACTTCACAAGCGAAGGTACCGGCAGGTACCGGGAAGGACAGGGGATACATTGCCTTAAGCAAAGAATATCATCTAAGATTCTAAGATCATCTAAGTAGAATCCCCGACCAATATCTTGATTTTTTGTTCATCTACTTCGCATGTTGGGGTAGTCTGGAAGGCGCCTACATTGAAGAAAAACAACTTAATCTACTAGATTGAGATACCCGATTTGTAGATGTTTGGTAGCTTCAAACTTGTCGAGTTATACAACAGCCCCAGCTTCGGACATCTACCGGCCTCCCTGCCACATGGTTAAAGCGGCCAAGCCTGCCATACAGGCTGGGATTTGAGCCCGGTATAACAATGTTTCTTGCAGCCTTGCACACCAGTCTGCACACCAGTCTGCACACCAAAGGTCGAAGGCATCAAGTCTTACTTGCCAGAACAAAACAGAACATGTAAGAAATCCATGAAGTAGGAAATGTATTTCTTGCTGGCAATCAATGTAACAAATTCAGTATGATGCAACATATACTTGATTTCTGGTGTTCTGACTTTCTGAGTCATGCTCGCTGCTCAATATCACTGCACAAGAAGCCCATAGCACACTGCCCCGGACGCCCAAAGCATTTCGCCCATAAAGGAACTGGAATATGTTGCTGATCCGTTTCTAGGACGCTTTCAGGATCTTATCATCTATTCTAACTTAAACACTCTCCAGACTCTCCACAATTGTTTAACAAAGGGCATCCAAGTATCCAAATTGAAAAACACCATGCAGAAACCTTTGATTTGTTTGGGACCACCCCGCTTTTTGCAGCTTCACCATCCGCCTTCGCTCAACGCCTTCTGCAACTCCTCGCGGCACTCAGAACGCAACCGAACCTGAGATCCGACGAGTAGAAGACAAGACCTGAAATGCAAATACCAAGGGGGAGGGGGTAGGCTGGAAGAAAAAGAGAAGGTAGCAAGTAGGGAGTAGCTACTAGCAAACAAGTAGCCACAATCAATCGGACACCGAAGGGCTCAGGCTTCATGATCTGGTTCCTAGATACGCTGTTTGTACTATGAAGAAGGTGTAAGAAGGGACTAGTAACAGTATACTAGTATATAGTAACCATTCCCCGCTGTGCTTTGTTTGCACTACCCTCGACGTGGCCGGGCACAATGCAGGCATGTTTCCACGCTTCTCTCTCTCATCCCTGTGATGAAAATCTGCTCTCTAAGGCCAACTTGAAGAAGTTGCGCAGCCTTGGCCGTTGAGGCCATTGAAGGCCAGCGCACAGTTGGTCAGCCCAAACAGGTCAGAGTGCAAAACAATGTAAATGTACAGTGAATAGAATACATGTGTGTGCGTGGCTCATGCCTGAGGTCCAAGGTGTCCATGGTCAGCTTTGGGAGGGAAACATGTGAGAAACAGCAATGAGGTCCAGTGTACAGTACCTCCTTTGCACGTGAAATGCCAGGTTTAGTTTAGCCATTGGTTCTCCAGGTGGTCAGATGTGAGGCATGCATGCATAGGAACATCTGTGTGCAATCCATTACACTGTGAGCTCTCATATGCTCTTGGATCCGGACCTGGCACAAAGCTGCTTCCCTGCCGGGTGCTTCATCTGACTCCTCACACAGTACACGTCGGAACGGCATTCTTAATACATGGCAAGGGTTCAGCACTTTCGGATGGATCCAAATATTGGTCATGCTGATCTATAAGCTCCATGACTTTGGAACAGTCTATGAGCTTCTCAATGCTTCTGACAAACCTGGTGAGATGCGACGTTCCTCTGTCTGGGTCCAGTTTCTGTTCATTGGGCACATAGGAACGTTGCATCTTGTATCAAGAATACCTTGTCTTGGCAAGAGTGAATCCACTAATGTTTCCGGGTCTTGCAGGATGTGTGCTGATTGGAAGTTCTTTCTGAGATCCATGCAACTCCTCCCCAAGGTTCTTGATGCCAGCATCTGGTGTCTCGCCTGCCAGGCCATTGCACAGACCCAAACAGGTGCAAGTGTCAATCAAATTCCCATCAAAGGCAAAACTGCAACCAGAACACAACAAACATCTGCACTGAGGCAAAACGGGGCTACACTCAGTTTGAAGGCGGCACACGAAACAAAACTCCATGACTCCATGTATCAAGCCCTTGGCAAACGGTCTCCTGATGCAACTTAGCCATTCCAACTCGCCTACCACTGTTTCTTAGTCTTTTGGCCGCAAAAGGGAAATTTGATGTCTGTTGAAACCCGTGAAAGGGTCACTTTTGAGGTGGCGGTTCACGTTCTATGCTCGAATGTCATTTTTTGAAAAACGTTCCAGGCCTTCTTGCAGCATCTGCTGAAAGATTGAGAACTCCTTTGCTTGCCTCATTGTGTCAGTCAGCCACTTTTTGTCAAAGACCCACCCAGGATGGTCACGAGTCACAATTTGCACAAACTGATCTACAACACTTTCAGTTCAGGTCGTGTTTAATTGAATCTACGAATCTTGATGGATGCAGGGATACAGGCCGTCAGCTCTGTTGCACTCCGGACAGAACAAATACTTTACTTCGAGTGATCCCCACCATGACATTTAAATCTGACAAGCTTTCTGGCATGTATCGAGGTATTATTTTGGAATTATTTCTAGAATATCTTCTGACATTTTTGTCTGGCATATCTTCTGAGCGATTCTGGCACATCTTTTGACAGTCTTTCTGGCAAATCTTCTGCATATCTTCTGACATTCTGTCTGGCATCTCTTCTGACATTCATTCAGGCATATCTTCTGACATTCTTTCTGGCGTTCTATCTGGCATATCTTCTGACTCGCGGTTGAGGGCCGGCGGGGAACACTGCCAGGAGGAGGCGGAGGAGGAGGACGAGGAGAAGAAGGAGGACGTCAGCTGACATAAAATCTAACAACCCTCACCTGACAGGTGGGGAACAATAGTGAAAACATCAGAAAACTGGTTACTTACACAGGAAAACCTCAATGCTGCGGTTCTGTGACACCAATCTGCGAGACAGTGGCTTGGCTTCATGCCAAGTCTGAGACGTTAAAATGTCTTCGAATGGTCGACCTCTGCTTCTGCAGGGCCTACCCTTTTCTTGGGTCTGTGATGTCGCCGGTGGCATCAAAGGTGCAAAAAAAATGGTATTTGTCTTCTGGAAACCCCTGCTGTCCAGCAGAATCAAAGCCGGAGAGCCAAAGCAAACTATCCAAACCCAAAAGCAGTTACACTTGCTCTTCACTCCTGGGAAGCTGAAAGGAGGACTCACCGAACTGTACTGCCAAAGTATTGATACTCGTCACCGAACCAAAGAAGATACCCACTGGTGGTCCTCGAATTTGCTCGATGTGTTGAACCGTGCCAAAGTGCTGTGGAGCCCACAGGGCTACCGCCCTTGAGAGCAGTTCCGCACACTGCCAGGGACGCTCCCAAAGAAGACGAAGGTCGAACACCAAGGACGAGACCTGGGACGAGACCGCCCATGGCGACGGAGACATGGTGACTGGGTGCAAGTGCCGCAAGGGACGGATCGTCGGCATGGTGACAACGACAGCTTCAAAACCATATATGCACATACATGCCATATACTATGCCATATCATGCCACAATGTCAGGAACTTACAGTCCACCAGCTACAGGTTTACACACACACACACAACTTGCAAGTCTTTGCAACATCCAGCAAGTTCAGAACATAAACTTAGACCGTGTTGGGATCGGTTGGCACAGTCCCATCAATCTCATGAGTCGTCACAACATGTCACAACAACCCTTCGACATCGCGTCCAATCAAAAGGGGGTCCTGGTCAAAGCCTCTGGGACGCATTGGGACTCATTGGAACTCATTGGGACTCTGGGTCAAGGTTTCCTGGGGAACAGGATGCAAACCCCACAGAGTTTGATGTACACCATAACCAACACAAGATTGACAGAAAGGTCATCTATATATTTGGATGTTCAATCCTTTTGTATATAATAAATATATATATATATGTTTATATGTTTATAGCTTTTGACCTGTAGCGCATAGAACCCATACCCATGTCATTGTGATGCTTCGATAGTCGATGCCAGACTCCGCCCGCTGAGCTCAGACTCCTACCATTGCTGCCAGCACTTCATTCTCTCTTGCCCAGCTTGATAGGAGCTCTTCGGCGTTGGAGCACGTCATGACTCCTGCGCACAGCACGGGCACGGCACAAGCGCAACAGCGCAAGGACTCATGATTGACCACAAGGATAAGCACGATCGAGCACCATCTTGGAAGCTACTATGCCAGCTATGCCCTTCGCAGAAAGTGCGCAGAAAAAGATGCGCGCAATTGGTATTCATGGTGCAGCAATCTCCCTGCCTTGCAGGAGGCCCAGCAGGACATCGATCAGCAAGAGCGTCTCAGGCGTCCAGTCCTCGAGGCATCCCGGACACATGTGTCTCGGCCACGGAACCCGCTGACTGCCGGAAGACTTTGGAGCCAAAAGAACCCAATTTTCTCCCTGGCATACGATCACGCTGCATGCTGAAAATTCATGAAACACAATTGATTCACACATCTTGGCCGCATCACGCATCTTGGCCGCATCGGCCCTGTCTGACACACTCTCAACTTAATTAGCTTTGTCTGACTTGGCCAGACCTGAACCATGCCAGCCCTTCTGCTAGTAACTAGTAAAAGCCAGCCTGTAAATTCAAAGGAACCATGTACTGTAGATGGAGGATCCATGCCACCCAAGTCGCGTGGGAAGGGAGTGGCTCGAACCACGGAAGCTTCTCAGCCGCGTGTGCTTTTGGAAGACCCAGGCAGCGGAACCAATCCTGGGCGGCGACCCGCAGGGTCAGCTAGGGCAAGCTGCTGCAACGCAGCTATGTTGTTGCAACGTAGGAGATCCTGACAAGACCTCCCAAAGAAGCTCGCCCTCTTCAAACATCTTCAAACCGGATTTGATGTTGATGACACAAGGATCATGTCTTGGGTTCGATAATAAAAAGCATCACCAATGCATTATTGACTTATATACCTGGATAATAATATCCAAGACATCAGTAACTTCAGGTGCTCCAGTGCTCATCCAAAAGTTTATGTTTCTGCACAAGCATGGTTTGATATTGGTCCAACCCCACTCCATGGTGGAGGTCTTTCTTCTCATCTTGAAGTTGGCCGTATGACCTGTGCAATATGTGTTTTCGAATGGAACGGTGATGGATGGGGCACGGCTTGACATTGGTTTAAGCTTTGTACCATTGTGCCGAATTGCTTCTGTGTGATTTGAGAATCTTGGGCGGTTGCAAAACATGATGCACGCTGCTGCTACATTGGGGCATATTGGTATTTTTTCTTTTTTGTGAATGCAATTTTCAGGCTAACACAGACGGTGGCCAGTGAAACAACTAGAACATGTCGCTGTCGGAGCATGTCCGTGTTCTTCCCTCAAGACATGGTGAGTGCCTTTAGGCAAGCCATGGCAAGCCTGTTACGTAAAATTCAAGGCGCAACTGTGAGCCCAGCAGTTGATCTGGGCCTACCATACCATGCCATACCATACCTGTGACCCTCAACTACGAGCCATTGCCTGGCACTTGACTTTAAGTCAATGGGTCTCAAAGGATCTCAAGAGCCAGCTTGAAAACCTATATAGAATCCCGAATAGATAGAAGTAAATCCCCACTTAAGATGTATTGGAAACCGTGCCACTATCTATTTGAGGACCACTATCGTCGGATTCAGCAACCTCCGTGGAAACATCCGTGCCACGCCTGTGGCCTGATCCGCCTGATCCGCCAAGCCTCTAGAGCCTCCGCAGCACAGCGTAAGGCTTGCCGCCTCAACGCCAGCAGGGAACGAAGGAGCTCCGAGACCAAATAGATGCAATGGAGCCTCGAGAAAAGACATAGCGTGGGTCTGCAAAGTGGAGGAGCTCAGAAATTCACGGGCCAGCAGCATGACCCAAGTGGAATGCAGCATGCAGTTCTGACCAATGAACCAGGACGGGTCGGAGCTAGTTGGAGGAACCATGACCATTTCCCAGCACAACACAATCAGAGTAGTGATGCTCTGTTCCTTGCACTTTCTGAGTTTGAGTGAAAGTACAAATGGTTGCATGCTTCCACTTAAAATAATGGTTTGAGAAAGGACATCGGCGCGGATACTCGCATCTGCGCAATGTGCCACTTGCGAAACAAACACACCCACAACAGGAACACCTGTGGGGTGCCTGTGTCAGGCAATCCCTCATTCATATACTGTAATTGTTGTGAATATTATGTCATGGCTACGCACATTAGGGACTCCAGCATATCATGGCCCAAAAGTCAAAGCTCTTTTTTTTGCAAAACATCCGATGCACTCAACGTGCCGTGTATTGCATATACAAGGTCTATCAAGTCTATAGTTAGTATAGAGCCTCCTTTTGCGACAACATCATAGTGTCATCATAATGCCGGATCAGTACCACGTTCGTAGGGCTTCGATCGGCTTCAATGCCTCGAAAAGACGAACTGGACACCAAATTATCTTACTCAACGGACCCAACCCTGCGACAAGGAAACATCTGCTGTGCATTTCGGCACTGCTTCATTGATGCTTCATTCTTTCCTGCCAAGGATGGGGAACAACTCAGCAAGTGCCTGCGTCATCCTTGAGTCCTTTGGTACTTGTCATCACGAAACTTTCAGTACGAGTTCCGGGGCTGGGAATCAAGTGTGCTACACCTGCTGCTTCTCAAGTCTGTGAATGTACAGATCTTCTCAGTCTGTCAAATAAGTTGAAAGCATCATCTATAGTTCCAATGAGCAAAGCACAGGGCTTTCCCTTTTCTATCACGGCCCTCAAAGGAAAGGTTTCGCATGGTTTCGCCCGGATGTTGTGGCAAATCGGACTGACGTAAAGTCTCCTTCTCCTGGTTCTAAATGAAGGAGTTGGAGAAGAGCTCGCAGGGCATGTTGAGCCAAAGGGCTTTCGACCACGCCTGGCACAACCAGACGACCAGTGAATACGACCAGTGACCAGACCCGGTGGACTCCCCAACACACCATTCAACTAACTGCAAATCAGCAGGTTCTCGAAGTTGTTTTTGCCGTTGAATCCCGAGCCAGAACTGGAGAGAAGGAAGGAGAAGGGTAAGGGTAAGGAAGGGAAAAGGGAACACATTGAAAGGACTTGATGTAGATGTAGGCTCTACAAGCTACACATGTGAGACAAGCTTGTTGCTGCCAGCAAAAGCACCGTCTTTTTGCACAGAAAATGCTGGTGTTGTGTTGCGTAGCCGCATGGCATCAACACAGGTCAGGAAAAGTGCAGCTTCCATACAGCCGCTATCTAGGTGCGCTTTCAAATGTGTGTTTGCTACACTGCTCCCTTCTGCTCATTTCAGATCTTCCTCTCCGTAGTCGTAGACAGCATCCGAGCCAGGGATGAAGTCCAAATACACCTAGGTCTCTCGGGTCTTCCTGGCTAATGGAACCAAACTTGCTTTTGACTTTTATGTTATTATCAAGGTCCCCATTTTCCAACACGTTAAACATCCGACAAATCCGACAAACAGAAAGGTCACACAATCTTACATGTTTGTCCCACTCCCAAAGACAGATTAATGTTGTTCATATCAGTAGTGGGAAGAAAGCTACTTCCACACTTGCTTGAACAAAACTCAGCACACTCAACTTATTAAACCAATCATCACTTGTTGCGTTTTCAGGTCAGGACTCGTGGACAAAAATCCTCCAAACTTGTAAGTGAACCTCCTAGCCCAGTCAGGGAAGGGTCTTTCTTTAACTTCCACCCAGGCGAGCTGGCTCGTTTGGATTAAGGGATCCAGTTACCACTATAGGTTCCTAGTAGTACGCCCAGGAGCCCCTAGTAGCGTCCTTGCTCCTAGTAGCGATGCCAGGAGCCCCTAGTAGCTTCTTTTCTACTAAACGCCAAAAAAAACAACAAAACTAACTACCGATACAACATCATCTGACTGTCGAAACTCTCGCAACACATTGAGAACCCACCCTCCGACTCAACATTGCCGAGGGACTGTGGCCTCCACTGGTTGGAAGGGCGGCAAAGCCATCCGTCCGGGCGCCGCTGGCAAGGCCTTCTCACCGAACGCCAAGTTCCCGGGGATCCGCATCTTCCGTACGCCGCCCGTCTTCATCCCCACCATGCCTGGGAAAGAGATTGATCCGAAGGGCGTCAACGCGCAGGGCGTCAACCGCCTTAAAAAAGAAACTGGTGCTGTTCGCGGATTGACATTGGTTCTTGTTCTGGAGACACCTGACATGGAGTTCATCCTGGAGGTTATCCAACATCTATAAATTGTTTAGCTTGTGTTTCAACTATATTTGTCTCGCATGTGGCTGCTGTGGGGAACAACTTTGAGTGCATTACAAGTCATGTATAGCATGTTTTGGCTTGTTGCTTGCAGCAGTCTCCGACCTCTGTTTCATCATTAGGCTGCATTTTTTGAATGTCATCTTTTTCTGAGTCTGAGTCACATGTTCAAAGTTGGCATTGTCTCTCATCCTTAACGCATTGACAGGCCTACAAAATGTCTTAACATCAAAGTTGTGCAAGCATGATAGAAAGCTACCTTCTTTGAATGTTAAAACGCTGGGTCTTAACAAGGTGCATGAGCATATCCGTACTGATCACATCTGGTGTACTGTATATTCTAGTAACATACCAATGTGAAATGTGATCCAATGTGGACATCCAAGTGCCTATCAAAAAGAACATGTGGGCGCAATCTGATGTGTGTCTGAATCCGCCTAGGGATCTTGCCATGTCAGGATATCTGTTTTGGAGGTCCAGGCGTGAATGAAGGACAACTCGTTCTTAATTATGAAGATCACACTGAAAATCATACAACACATCGATTCTGACACGCCGAAATGCCTTCATCCATCCCAGGCAACAGCTGGCCGACCCCAAACCTGAAGTCTTTGGCCGAGCCCTTGGTCAAATCCTCCACAATCACTTCTCGTTCACGGATGTAGGCCTTAAGCTGGTAGCGGCACGCGATCTGGTCACCGATCTGAGGGCTTGAGCCGGTGCCCACCTTCACGTCCTCCCATTCCACACCTCCCAGGTGGACGTCATCCTCTCCCCCATCAGGTCGCACTTTCCATGCGGTGGTCACACCCTTGTCAGCCTGAGCAGGGAGGCTCAATCCAAAGCTCATCAGTGGCAACAGCCGCAAGTGAGCACGGCTCACCGCTTCAACCTCTTCGGTTTGGACTTCCACTTTCCGGGTGAGAGGTTCGGGCACGAAGGTCTTCTGCAGTGCCAAGGCTGAAAGGCACAGCAGCAGGACTTGAAGGCGGCGTTGAGGACGAGCCATTGCCGAAGAGCTTGATACAAATATGAAACAACGGGAACTCTAGAGAACATCTTTTCAGCAATTGGAACGCTTTTCTGTATCTGTTGATTCGTGAGCAAATCTGGATGGTCGTTGATGATCAGTGGCACTTGGAACTCTGCTTGGTCAGCTCCTACACACCTCGCAGCTGCATGAGGTAAAGGTCAGATGCAAAACGCAAAACCGTGATGTTCAATCTGCACACACTCACAGCACTACCCTATCCGTCCCTATGCCATTCGCCTCTTTGGTCTTCTGGTCTGTCGAAGCACGCAAGCACTCTGGAAGAAGGCAATAACATGCGCAAGAGTCGCTTATCCCATGTTGAGCATCTTATTGTTACTGTAAGTCTTTCAACCTGTCCTGTCAATGATTGTCCGGATTCCTCCACAGCTGTGGAACGGGGCCCCACATCCGACCTGACGAAAGCAGTTGGGCCAGAAGATGCCACAAGGCAGGAAGCGCCTGGGCAGTCACAAAAGACTTGATCAATAAGGGAAAGGTATGAAAAGGGTGCCGAGGGGTGCCCGCAAAGGGTTTTGGGCTGGTCAGAGTGAGAATACATCGCACGAACAAAATCGCACGAACGTCTTCCGTACAGCATGGATGGGCTTTCAATATATATATATATATAACTAGATTCGTTCTAGCGCGAGGGTACTTCAGTTGGAGTCCTTCGTGAACTGCCTTGAACACGTTCATGCTCTATTCCATGCTTTAAATCTATGGCAATAGTTGTGAGCCCTAAAGGCTTGCTGATGGGTCAACACAAATGCTGGAATCAGGTCTCATTCTCTACTTGAGAGAGGAGGGGGCGAAAGGAAGGTAGCAGGCACGGCTCAAAGGCAGCCGCAGAAAACGCAGCAACTGCGACTTTGTACATGCCACAAAATGGAAATGGTTTTGGCAATACAGTGGCTAAACGAAAGTTGTGCTTCTTCATGGTGAAACTCATCACAACCCTATCCTCCTAGGATCATACACAACCTGAGGAGAGATGGTGCGGGCAGTCATTTGTGACCCCGGAAAGAATTTTATTATTGTAAACTTAAAACGGTGTGATAATTGACTGTCTCACATCTGCCATGAAAGTCAGACTTGTTACTTCCATCCGCCGCTGACCTCAGAGTGTTTTTAGAAAGCCTAAGAAGCATAAACTTTTGTCGGCCTGAAGTAGTACTACGTGTCTACCTTGACTTGACTTTAGCTCATACATATGATTACTGCACTTCCAGCGCCAGGTCCACAAATTGTTTCGTCACCCAATGACAACACCTTTCTGGTAAGAAAATTGTTTTGCTCTGCCCAAAAGCGGAAGTGCATTTTTGGGAGGTCAAAGTGGCTCTACGTGGCTACACCTTCTTTTCATGTATGAAGCACCCAAACCGGCCTAATCCGGCATGTACCGGGACTGTTCTCTATATCTGTTATCATCTCTTGTCTCACTGCATCCATCGTCAGCAGGAGGGATTTGATCCAGGGGGGCCCCCTATGATACAGAATCCTTCCTTACAATACCAAACTCTAGGCAATTCACATCAATTCACCAAGTCCTGGTTACAATACAGTTTTGCTAAAGCAAAAGGAGAACTCAGGTAGCCTGAGGCTACCTTTCGTGATCAACAGATCTCTCCCGCAACCAATCGCTCTGAATGTCATGTCAGCTTATGGCTGTATAAGTCCACGTTTATAACCACAGTATCCAGTCCTCTTCCGCTTCTGCCGCCGGTGACTGCCGCCTGACAAGGCTGTGTCCACAATGGTGGCGCCGAAAAAAAGGGTGGGATCAGGTTGTGTGGGACGTATGTATCTGCTCAAAGGTCTGAACAACAGGTTTTGAAAAATAATCTGGACTACAGAAAGGATGAAACGTCTAAAAACAGGAACATCGGGAAAAAATCAAGGAAACATCTACTGTACTCACTATATTCAGTTTGACGCATTGTGTACGCTTTGTTGTTCTAACGGACCTGCTCTGGCCGATAGTCTCGTGAAGCTCATCAGAGTCGCGCTGTGGTATCCTTCTGCTGTTGGACATAAACTCGGGTGTAAGTCTTCAATTAGAGCCGTCCTGACGCCAATCCACCTGTGAGGTGCCGTCACGCCTATGTTCCTTCTCCTGCTCGAGTAAAAGGCCTCGCACATGACTAAAGGTAAAGCAGGGGTCCGGGATCACAATCACATCGCTCAGAACTCAAGCTTGCAAAAGAATAACACCATGACTCCAGTAGTTTCTGACAAACCCTTGGTACCAAAAGAAGCTTCCATGAGTCTACATGTAACACAAAAAACTTCCTTAGTTTGAAGGCACACCTTCTTGCAAGACTAATATAATCGTGAGTCTGAAGAAGGCAGAGCTTGAAAGAGTTCGGAACAAAGAATCTGTTCTTCGATCTTATGCATTTGGGGTGCCTTTGGGTCTTGTCCTAGATGCGTGAAACGGCACAAGATGTTGTGAAAGCTTCTGGCAATATTCTAGATTCTATAGTAGGAAGATCAGGTATGGAGCGATTGGCTAGATAAGTCGGAGTTTCTGCAGTCGAACAGTAGCGACACTGCAAGTAACGCGGTGCTGCGCTTGCAGTGCACAATATGTAGTAATAGTATCTGTGTGGTCTTTTGGCACACCCTGCTTGCAAACCAAATCCCTTACCACCCTCTAACAAGTAAATCTTGTTTGGTCCGATTTGGTCCTACGGAAAAAAAATATGAAATAACATAAACAAATACATAAATAACATTAAATAACTGTTTGGAATTTCCTCTGGAAAGCCAGTCCTTCCGCCTTCCGTCTCCTTTTTTGGGGCCCGCACACAGCACGTCGCAGGCCGCCGTATTCTCGGACTCCCGAAGGCAAAGGCAAAGACCCTCGACCACCGGAGCATAGGTCTTGGTGTGGCAGGTCGTGTCAGGACGGTCGTGTGTTCTGACTGTTTGGACGGTCAAAAGCTCCGTTCGTAGCGTCCTTGTTCCTAGTAGTAAGGCCTGGCGGCCAGGAGCCCCTAGTAGCGTCCTTCCTCCTAGTAGCGATGCCCTTTGCTCCTAGTAGCGTCCTCTACTGGAATGCCAAGTTGGACGTTCTTTGGGTTTGCTGGGATGCCCCACCAACAGTAGCCTTGGCATGTCCACAGCCAGCTGCCAAAGCTCTCGGCATGCTGCAGGTCGCTGTGAAGCATCGGAGAACTTCAAGCGGACCTGGGATCCACTCTTGGAGGATGTCCGTTATGGCCTTCGATCTGGGACTATCCTAGATGGTCCTTGATGCCATATGATTTCAATTGATTTCATTGATATTTGCCGTGGATCCACCTTCCTGAGAGTTCTGTCTCGGGATGGATGGAGAAAGCAAGCAAAGAATTGCGAAGCAGGCTGCTAGCAGGGCCCACTTGTGAGGATGCGTCCGGACGCATATACTTCTGATCACTTCTGATAGTCAGTCAGCTTCGCTGTGCAAAATATGTGCACACAAAGCACATTTATGCAAGCTTGTAGTGAACCATGAAGTGCCGGTCAAGGACTATCAGCACAATGAAGCCAGCAAACCAGAATCCAAGAATCAAAAGAGGTGATTGATGATTGATTTTGCCATCTTGCATCATCTTGCTATATCTTGATCATGCTCGTCAGCATCAGTGCACCAAACGTCAGCATCATCGGAGACCCGACACCACATCCGCCTGACACCCGACTCACCGGAGCTCGCCCAAACCCCTTCTCGACGAAGCAAACAGCCTCAGCTCTCGACGGCCATGTCCAGCAGTATCTGCTGATCTGCCTCACCGATTTGGAGCTCCTGGGCACTGCTGATCTTCACCGAGAGATCCGTGAAAATTCCAGCGGTCGGAGACGTCCAGCACTACAGTTTGTGTTTTTTGTGAGAAGGCAGTGTTCTTTGGGCCCATGGAATATCCCTTTCCATGTGAATTCGAAAGGGGAGTCTTTGTTGGCGCCACAAAAAGTAGGTTCTCAGGACCAGCAAACGTCTGGATTGGAATCTCTATGAATCTCTCGATGGTCATATGTTTGATGGCCGAACCATAAACCAATGACGCATACAGTGGTTAGTGCAAATGAAGGGAACGGTGTTTTTTGCGACAGTAATCAGGGTATTTCCAGACAGTTATGTAGATCGGTGTTTTTTCGACCAGTCACCGGTGTTTTCTTGCTATGGTGACTAGGTTCGGTGTTTTTTGCACCAGTAGTCTGGTGTCTTTTGCGACGGTTCCTCCTGGTCGTTGTTTTTTGCAATGGTTCCCCCACACCGCTGTTTTTTGTGCCGGTGATTATTGTTTTTTGTCGACAGTGGTGGAACACGGTAAATCAGGAAGCATCTTTTCAATCAGTAGAAGCAGTAGTAGTAGTAGCAGCAGAAGTAGTAGTAGTAGTCGTCGTAGTAGTAGTTGTTGTTCAGAAATTTGCGTTGTTGCTGTTGTTGTTGTTGTGGTTGTTGCCGTTGTTGTTGTGGTTCTATTTGTGGTTGTTGCCATGTTGTTGTTGTTGCTGCTGCTAGCGGTGGGGGTTTGTATGGTTGTTATTGTCGTTTGTTGTGTGTTGTTTGTTTGTTGTTTGTTGTTTTTTGTGTTGTTGGTTGTTGGTTGTGTTTGTTGTTTGCTTGATGTTTGTTGTTTGTTGTTGTTTGTTGATGGTTTTTGTTTGTGGTTTGTTGTGGTTGTGGTCTGGATTTTCATTTGGTTGGGCTTTAAACAGTTTTTCGTGGCAGGCGCATTGGTACAATGTATGTATCTATGTACGTATGTACGTATGTATGTATGTGTGTCCGGATGTATGTTTGTATGTATGTGTGTATGTCTGTAAGTATGTATGCATGTCTGCATGTATGATTGTTTTGTTTGTATGTATCTATGTATGTATGTATGTATGTATGTGTGTGTATTTATGTCTGTGGGCGACATGCATGCGTGATATGCCACAAAAAAGCGGGAGGGGGTGGCAGGGGGGAGGGCGCAGCGCCTCCCCAGCCGAACCCGAAGTCCAACCTCCCTGGGCCCCCTGCTCCCAAGAAACAGGAGCGCAGATTCCTTGCAGTCCTTTCCACTCCCCTTTCAAGCCCGAAGTCGACCCGAAGCCGAACCCGCAGTGGTCCCCCCCCCCCCAAAGAAAAGGGTCCCAGGCGAGGCCGAACCTGCAGTCGAACCTCCCCCTCCCATAGAAAAAGACGATCATTGGCCCGACCGTCATTGGCCCGACCGTCTTTGCATCGTGTGTAGATAGAGAGCTGCATCGGCCACAGTGGCCCGACCGTCTTTGCGTGTATGTATGTATGTACGTATGTATGTATGTAAGTATGTATGTATCTATGTACGTAGCTATGTATGTATGTATGTATGTATCTATCTATGTATGTATGTGTGTCTGTATGTCTGTTTGTAGGTATGTATGTCTGTAAGTATGTCTGCATGTATGTTTGTTTTGTTTGTATGTATCTATGTATGTATGTGTGTGTATGTATGTCTGTGGGCCACGTGCATTCATGATATGCCATAAGAAAGCGGGAGGGGGTGCAGGGGGAGGGCGCAGCGCCTCCCCCGCGGCAAACAAGCCGGAAGAAGCGTGGCCGAGCGCGTATCATCTTGTATCTATTTTGCATGTATGTATCATGTGTGTATGTATCTATCTATCTATCTATGTATGTATGTATGTATGTATGTATGTATGTATGTATGTGTGTGTATGTCTGTGGGCCACATGCATGCATGATATGACATAAAAAAGGGGGAGGGGGTGCAGGGGGAGGGCGCAGCGCCTCCCCCGCGGAAAACAAGCTGGAAGAAGCGTGGCCGAGCTCGTATCATGTTGTCTCTACGTGCCTTTGCCTGCTCTTGCTGCGTCTCCAAGGATGAATGTATGTATGTATGTTGGTGTGTGTGTGTCTATGTGTGTTTGTATCTATGGCTGTATGTTTGTATGTGTCTGTATCGTGTGTAGATAGAGAGCTGAATCGGCCACAGTGGCCCCACCGTATGTATGATCTAGGTATGTATGTATGTATATATGTGTGTGTCTATGTGTGTCTGTATGTATGTTTGTATGTATCTATGTATGTATGTATATATATATATATATGTGTGTGTATGTATGTCTGTGGGCCACATGCATGCATGATACGCCATAAAAAAGAGGGAGGGGGTGCAGGGGGAGGGCGCAGCGCCTCCCCCGCTGCAAACAAGCTGGAAGAAGCGTGGCCGAGCGCGTATCATCTTGTTTCTATGTGTCTTCGCCTGATCTTCCTGTGTATGTATGTGTATGTATGGCGGTGCGATGCCAACCACGCACAATTGTTCTTCTCTGTTGGTGCCCGCCTTGCCGTGGCAGAGAAGCTCAGTACCATGCAGAAGCATGGGAAGCCAAGAGGCGTCTTACCCCATGTTGCTGGTCTCTTGTTGTTGAAGTCTAGAGTAGTAAGCTGTGTGCTCTGTTTGCTGGTCTCTTGAAACAGCTGGCAGATCTGCTACACCGACATGCATGAAGGCACGGCGTGCAGACCTATGAGACGTGTGTTGGTGTTGGTGCTGGTGTTGTCGTTGTCGTTGTCGTTGTTGTTGTTGTCGTGGTTGTTGTTGTTGTTGTCGTGGAGTAGTAGTACTAGTAGTGTGATAGTAGTGGTAGTAGTCGCAGTAGCAGCAGCAGCCGCAGCAGCAGCAGCAGGAGGAGGAGGAGGACGAGGAGGAGTAGTAGTAGTAGTAGTACTGGTACTGGTACTGGTACTGGTACTGGTACTGGTACTGGTACTGGTAGTAGTAGTAGTAGTAGTAGTAGTAGTAGTAGTAATAGTACTAGTACTGTAATGGTAGTTGTGGTAGTAGTAGTAGTCGTCGTCGTCGTCGTCGTCGTCGTCGTTTTAGTCCCCCCTCTCACCGTAGCAAAAAACACCGGTTACCATCGCAGAAAACACCGGTTACCGTCGCAGAAAACACCACCGTCGCAAAAAACACCGGTTGCCGGCGCAAAAACACACCTGGGACAGTTGCAAAAACACTCCCGAACCGACGCAAAAAACACCGGTTCCAAACCGACGCAAAAAACACCGAACCTAGTCACCGTAGCAAAAAACACTGGTTACTGACGCAAAAAACATGAAGCCCAAAATTTGATGTCTTGATCTGCAAACTCTCAACATTTGGTGAGGGATGCAAAGGTGGCCAACGCCCAGGGCAAAGGCTTTCTGGGCCAAAACACCTCGAATACTTTGTAAATTTGGGTTTCCCCACTGTCGGTGTGCCAATTTTGTTTCTTGGTTGTGCTACGCTGGTACACCTGGTATGGAAACCGTGCTTCCCACTCCAAGCTTTTCAGTTTTCACAGCCGTCTCTCGAAACTGTTTGTCATTGAAGGAACATGGCAGCCAAAGGGCCATGTGTTCAGCTTAAGCACAAAGAGTAGAGTCCCCAACAGGTGCCCCAAACCCTAACCCCCAGTCGCTGAATCAACCGATCGATGAGGCTGTCTTCTACAATCCGAGACGCAGCTAGTTCATCTTTCACACGACAAACCTGCCGATGCCTAACGTTGGTCGACTTGGAAGACTTGCGGCGGGCCAAAGGGCTGGCAGCTTCAAGGTCTCCAATGAACGCAAACTGGTCTTCGAAGCGCTCTTCGCGGGGGTAAGGACCTGAGTCGGCCGTCGAAACAAGCTGCTTTGCATACGATTGGTGAACGAACCATCGAAATGAGCACCGTCCAAAATGGGACTATTCATTGGGAGTGAGTCTGCTGATTTGAGTGATATCATTAAAAGCATACAAAAGCAAGGGGCATGTTCTGTCATCTGGATGAGCTGTGTCAATAACATGTGTCTAGATTCTAGATCTCACAGGTTCTTCATTGCTGAGGCAAGTTCAAACCAATGTTACAATGTCAAATGATCTTCAACCAGTGGGTGAGTCTACATATACATCCTTGGCTGGCATATACGTGTGACATGACATCTAAGGGGAAGGGGTTTCACTTTGGAACCTTCAAGAAGATAACAAAAATCCTAGTGGCGTATTTTTGTGTATTGCATATATTCAATATACTGTATGTATCAAGGTGTTTGCAGGCTTCGTGCACCCGCATTCTTCCACTCGGCAAACAAGTCTATCAAGGCGAGGCTATGGACCGGGATCGGTGATTGGTGCTCAGGATCATCGATTTGCAGATGGAACGGCGAGAAAGATACATGAACGGCGGTGCCTGTTTTCTGGGTTCAAGAATTACTGTATGAACTATGGTAGAGCGATCTGACGATATGATTTGTATTTCATATGTATATACATTATATTTGAGAGATACTACTGTATTATGGACATTCTCAAATCAAGGTATATATATATATTGTAAGCTCTCCGAGGCTCATGCCATAGTGAAGGGCTCCTGAGCCGTCGGACTGGAGCTGTCTCCAAGCACCCGGATCCTTGAAGAGATTTTGGCCCCTGGCCTGGGGCGGTCCAAATGAATCCTCCAAGACCACCAGGTAGAAGAACATCATCAAGTAGTCATAAGTAGTCTTCAAGTATTCCATTGCTTTTGTCAGTTTTTGCAGTTTCCCAACCGATCAAGCGGGTATGGGGTAGCTAGATCCGGTTCATCGGAGCTGCTCAGTCTGGGGTAGACATGTTGCTTCAAGATCGGCCAAAAGACCAAGAGAGAGAGAGAGAGAGAACAATATTTTTGAAAAAATACATTACTGCAATTACTGCAATGTGTATCATTGTTAGAAATGATCTGTACACTTTCTGGACCCTGTAACTATTGGATGTTTAACTAACTATTTATATAAGCGTATCGTTCACTAGGGGTCTGATAGCTACTAATCAACCAGGAAGCAAACTACCTTTGAGGGTTCAAGTAGCACACCCGCTGAAAGTCAAGCTTCATGTGGTCTCCAAGCATCACTTATTGGAGAAGAAAGCGTTTAGAATATGGGTACACCTGGTCACACGCAACAAACACCCTACTGAAAGGAATAAGACTAGGACTAAACCCGCCTCTGCCCCTCCGTCCTTGCGGCGTTTGAGCGGCGTGCTAAAGGCATCGCCTGAGCCCTCCTTCTCGGCGGCCTCACGGTGACGGGTCACATCCGAGTGACGTCAGCCAGTGACGGGTGCGTCACGGACGAAGGGGTTGGCGAGAATGTTGAAAGAAGCGACTCATATATATATATATAAATATAATATATATGTTCAAGTGGACCTCAAAAAACATGTTCCAATTCATGGGATCGCTGGAGTTGTTCGTTCACATTTTTCTGATCTGAGTGATACATATTATTTATGGTGCCTGACCCCTCTTGGATCTGATCAGCTTCGATCTGACTTTCCTTCCCGGTCGGGGCCAAGCTGCTCGGCCATAAGGCTCCGTTGAACTGCTGGGGGACGGGGACGCCTACTTTGGGCAGAAGGATTGCCAAAAAACTCAGCGTTTCAGCTGCACATCATTCTGAAACGTTTCTCTCCAGCCTCGGGGCGATGACACAAGAGAGCCCACAACGCGGCATCCAGCGTCTCGAGACAAGGTGGAGGCACCTGAAACGCAGTGCAAGATGGTGGTACTGTTTGACAAACAGTGGCACGTTGAATCCTAATGTTTTTGTTGGCAAACACAACAAAGTATCATTATATATAGTATAAAAATATATGCAAAATAATGCAATTGTTTTTTGTTACATGTCTGAGCATGTCTGAGTTGTGTAATCAGTGCTGTCCCTTCTCAAACTAAATCAACATAAATCGCAAACCATATACGTATACTAAAGGCCATAAACATCGACATCTGGTTGTGCTTCTGGCCCAGCTACCCTCCAAGCCTCAACATTGTCGTAGACGTGACGTTTGCAGGGACAAACAGTGGCAAACTCATTGGCCATAGTCCAACAAAGACATGTCTGTTTGTCGTGTAGAATCCAAGTACACCCATCTTTGCATCACCTGAATGGGTCAGTACCTACCCGTTCGAACTCACTAATAGCTAGCCTCTCAAACTTTCCCCGCCTCTGGTTGACGTCCCTCCCACCAGCTTGCCAACGATGCTCTTGCTTTGGTATATAGGTGCTACCCGACTGAAAACATGTCCCTCACGAAACATGGACAGTTCCTACGAGTTGAAGTGAACACGATGCCCGCTGCGCGCAGGGATTCTGATCTTCGGATCTGTGATGAAACCCCGGTCGAAAAGATGCGACATGCGACCTGCCGCTCCCAGGGTTTGGCCTGTGGGCGGAAGTCCTGCAAGAAGGGAATGCAGCCAGCTTCATGAAGCCTCCCGCATCCGCGCTGAGAGGGACTGAAGATGATCATTCCGTGTGAAGAGTGTGACGTATATAGCAATATCATGCAATATCAAACAACAATGCTTTTGCAGTGGGAGCATACTCTTTCCGAGTTTTGCTGTTTTGGTGCTTGTCCTCTTATTTGGGCAAATAGTGACAAGGAGCCAGCTCATAAAGTGTATTCTGCCAACGGCTCAATCTTGAGAATTCTTAAATAATTATGCACTTCCCGCTCTCTGCAATTGCCAACCAACAGCGATGGTGAAATCCTCGCTGCAATGCAACAAATGGATCAATCTGTGCATGCACAAACTATGCCCTCAAATCTTTGCAACAACGCCTTTCACCTGAGGCATATGTACAGTACTGAGCCATGGATCTTCCCACGTGTAAGGCAAGAACACTTACTACAGCTATCCCAATCTTCTGGAGCACTGGAACGTTGCCTCTGGAAACTGACTTGATGTGCGCCTGGTTGTATCCTGACCGTGAGCCAAGCGCCCCAGAAGCTTCAAGGCAACGTTGAGCAGTTCAGGTTCTGAGTCCTGGGCCCCACGATGCCCTTGCAATCGGCAGAATAAGGAACCCAATCAATCAAACTCACAATGTCAATGTCTTTCAGGAACACGTGTTGTGTGGATGACTGTGGAAATGAGTATCGTCCTGGACATGTTGCTAAATGTGAATGGTATCCTGGCAAATCAAGAAGCCGTGTCTGGCAAAAGGAAATGTGCAAAACAACTCACAAAAGAAAAGGCAAAACATGAGAAACTCGGTGAACAAGCAGCCAGCAACAGTGAGCTGCGCCCCAAGTTGAGCCCTTTGGCCGCGAAACCCACGAAGGAACCGAGGCGAAGGAGATCGAGGCGAAACCGAAGCATTTTCACGATCGGGTCGGGGGTGGGTGATGGATGACACTGATTCACCAACCTCGATTCACCTTTGGTTGGGCCCATTTCTGGCCGGTTGGGCTGTTGGTCAACCCCAGTTCATCACGGAAATCCAGGTAAAACTTCCAAGATCGGGGGGCGTTAGTCGTGTTTTTTTAACCCCCGGATGTTCCTCTCGTGCATCAAATTGGATGATCGGCAGTCCTGCCGGTCGTTCAGCCAATGCAGCACCAGCTGTGGCAGGCCAGGGATCTCCAAAGCTACCTCAACGGTCTGTCGATGACGATCTTAGGGAACTTGAGGCTCCACTAAGCCGACTGTTCAAAGCCAACATGATTGTGATTATCGTTCCGTACTCAAGGGAATGCAACAGGATGATCGTCCATCCTCATTTACCAAACATTGTATAGTACAAACTGAATGGCCATAGCCATGGACCATGCCAACAAACAAAAACAGCAAAGCTGTCACAATAAGCGACTGCTTGTTGCCCACCCACCATCAACCGTGATGTGATGCAAGACCCCAAAACAAAACGTACTGATAGTACTAAGCAGTCCGAAACAAAAACAACATAATTAAACAAAAAACATCCATTAAAAAAGGTCCAACAGTTAAAGAGATCATGCTCCCCTCATCGAAGTGGGGCACATCCCAACTTACTTGTCTATCTTGAGTTGAATTCGCACAGCCTCAGGGACTGGCGTGATTCCGCTGTGTAAGATATTTGGAATTGGACTTTTGGATTCACAATTCTCAGATCCCTGGAACTCCGGAATCCGGCTGGGGCGAGCGATGGAGTGCCTCAGGCGGCAAGATGCCCAGCTCCAGCTTTGAGCCGAGAGCCTGCCATCGGTGTCGAAGCGAACTTGGGAAAAACCAGTCCCGAACTGGTTGCGATCTAGCTGCGATCTATAGCTATCTGTAGCATTTTATCCGGTGAAATCTCATTGGACATGTGCACAAACTGAGAGAGGAACGTACATGAGAATCCATTGGGTCCTCTTTCATGTTGAAACTTGAAAAACACCTGATCCTCTCGACTTCTTTAAGGTTTTGTATACGATGTTCTGTTCTGGTTGGAGTTTTCAAAATTGTTTGAACTACTACACATGAAAGCAATATTTGGATTTCGTCTGTATGGTCTTCCTACTACGAGTGAAGTTTGAAAGTCCCTGGTTGTGAAATGCACTCACTCTACCATGCAGTACCTATTGTTGCATACTCGTTGCAAATAGTCCCTGGTTAATCATCCCACTCAACCCGGCTGGCTGATGCATTTTCTCTGCAGTTGCAAGGAACTCTGGTGGTGTGGTAACACCTCTGACTAAATGAACTGACAAACAGCAAATCAAAGTGATCTAATGTAATTCAGTTGCACCTCCCATACATCCCTCAATCATCCGACAAGGTGACTCGTTTGGACATGTCAAATGTATAGATCACCTGTGACCCAATGGGCAACGACTTTAATAAGTCCAGCATACAGTCCAATCTTGTACCCAAGCAGCTTGTAAACAAAAGTCCTCCAGCCCAGCATTCGATTTCGCCACACCTTCTTGCCCTGAAACATCGGCTCCGCTGAAGCCTTCAGAGCTCTGTCTCGGATCTCCGGAAGGCGCTTGGGCGAGAGCTTCGCGGCCTCGACCCCCGTTTTCCACTTCGTCACATCCCGATCCGGCCCGTTTGTGGGTTCATAGTTCGATGTGAGCCAAGTTGCGTCTGGAATCAAAGAACATTTAGATGGTTGTTGGATGGCCATGTTAGGTGTATAGACATCCAGAACATGCTCTTGAGTATTTCTGTGAAAAAGGAATTCGATTGATAGAATCATAGACATCAGCTGCATTATACGTCTAAGTATGCTAGGCTACCATCTACATTTTACATGCAGCACATGGAGGACGTTCCAAAGACACAAAGCACGGTGGCATCGATTTTCATATAATCCCCACACACACACACAATTCCGGCATCCAAGCGGGTATTGTTGTGTTTGTTTTGCCATGATGATACGTACAGGTCTAGGAGGTTTCTCGTTGGGTCTAAAAGCATTTCAGCTTCAACGATTGGAGTCAGCAAATTGAGCCACAAGAAATCACTCTGACAGAAGAAAAGACGGGCCTTACGGCTGCCTTGTCCACCTAACTTTTTGATGGATTTAGGCCAAGGGGGTTTACACAAAGTACAAATCAACACGTCATAGCAAAGTGTCGGACTCCCATGATCTCCCATGATTCTTCATGTATTCCCAAGATATCCCAAGTGGTGGATTTGTATATGTGCGATCAAATATCACTGATCATTGCCCGTATACATCTGATTTGGTCGAAGTCGTGACATCCATGATTTGAGCTCCCCAACCAGCTCAAGACCTGCGAGCAGGGCAGGGCGGGCGGCGCGGATGGAGGAACATCGGAAGTGTCACGACATTCGATGTTTGCTCATCTCGGACTGGGCCAATAGCAAAACCGTCATTAGGGGCGCTCCGATTATTTTTAATGGAAAAACGACCTCCGTTTCTCAAGGGACTTTTTTGCAAACCAAATTATAACAGTGCTGATCAGCTCCATTAAGTTAATTGAAGTTGGACACCCTTCCACTATTTCCAAGCCTGCTGTGTGGCTGCTCGACATTGTTTCCGGTGCCATAGCATCGACATAAGCACGTGTTTGCGTTCAGTGTAGCGAAATGCACAGGCGAGTCCCGTGTGGCGGCATTCCTCATGTCTCCGAACTAGTAAGCCACTGATCCTGCGATTCTCTGTGTCGGATCCTGTTGTCTATCAAACACATTTGGACATAGGACCTGACTGACGGTGAAACCGCAACCAACAGACCATCCTACATTCACCTCATGAGCTTCATGTTGCCTCATCATTTAGAGCTGCCCTTGATGAAGGGTATATACACACTCACCCCACCCGAGTGTCCTGAGCAACAAACAGCCCCAAGATAAGGACCCTGCCAAGTAGAGAGGAACGGTCTAAGATCAAGCTCTGCTGGCCACCATCTGGATTTGTGACTATACTTAATCAACCCCGAATATGGAGACATGGACTACACAACTGTGTTTTGTTTCTTTCCCCAAGTGTGGCTTCTTACTTTTTACCAGGCCCTTCCCGCTCCTCGACCTCCTGCCGCTCCCTGCTCACACCAATTCCCTCACACCAACTGACATACACCAACTCACACACACACTTATATACTCACACCAACTCACTCACACTAACTTACTCAGACCAGCTCGCTCACAGCAACTTACTCACACCAGCTTGCTCACACCAACTTACAGTGCTCACATCAAACATGTGCCCATGGAAGCAAACCTGGAAATGCCCTATGAAAAGGCTCGTGAACCAGCGCTAGAGCTGCTCAGGATCTAGATCTGACATCATCTGACAAATCCTAGTCCTGCAGAAAGCTTCGCAGTGACACAGCTATGCCCTCATCATCCTCATTGTTATTTCAGTCTTGCATGTCAGGGGCCACAAAGGCCTTGATGGGCCTTTAGAGAAACACAAAGCTGCCGCAAACCAAGAGCGTTGGCGCAGAATCCCTTTCTTTGCAACGAACCGATGTGCGACTCAGGTCAACTACTCAGGATTGGAGCGAGCACCGCTCACTGTAGTTGTCGAAGGGTATTGTTCAACTCCTTGAAACAAAACGCAAACACAGGGACTTCAAGCAAGTGCGGAGATAAACGTTGTTTAGCAATGTTTAGCACAATGATATATAGTTGGGGCCTTGTGATCCCAAACATGACCTTTACGAAGTTGTTCAATACATGTCATATCCCGCATGCCATGTATGGAGCGGGGGACCTTCAATTTCATAAGCTGCGACCAAGATTCGGCTTGTTTCTGCATAAACTGTGTGGACCTGCCCGCGCCAAAGTCGATGAATGCAGGAGCAGTGCAGGAGCAAAGACTCGATTGGATGTCACCAGCTGAACAAGCTGCCTTGCAAAGTGCACTGAACAGCGGGGCGATGCACTGTCCACTTTGGAATCACTCCTTCAAATCCTTTCAATTTGTCGAGGTTGCACGGAATCAGGGATGGAACCAGGATGTTGCTCCACTTCTAAGACGATCAAACCGATGGTTGCATTTCGTGTCACACCAGGCTTTCGTGCGCCCTTGAGAGGTCGAAGTCTCCCTCTTTTCTGAGCCACCAGTGATGATTGCTAGGCAAAATGACTCACCAGTCATCCTCCCCTAGTCCAAACACCAAGCTTGTGTAGCTTGCGCCTCTGGTCGGTGGCTTCCAACCTGCAGAGTTGAGATCAACGAGCCCCTTTTAGAGCGCAGGGATCAGTGATTCGCAATGGGCAGATAGATGCCCGGTGGAACTGGCAGATCTGGACGGATCCCGGAGGCGGATCCCGGATGTCTGCCGAGCCAGCGGAACAGACATACTAAACAGACATACTACATTGCAGCTTGCATGCTATTATATGCTATGTATATATATATATATACAATTATAATCAATTATATACATACTATTACAATAGACCGGTTTGGAGCTTACGTACAAACAAAACAAATTGCGCTCATCCTCTACTTTAACTTTGCGTGAAACGTTCCAAAAAGCCCATCCGGTCAGGTTCGGATTACGCCTTTGCCACATAGATGTGGGCTGCCCTCCGGACATCACCGAGGTGAGTCGTGAGAGCTCCTCGGCGCATCATGCCGGCATGAATTAAGACGGATCAAACACAACATCCGCAGGTTTGGTGAGGCAGTTGAAACATGTTGAAACCCATACGATCCAAGTTTGTACGGTGAGGCTTTTGCGATGCCTCTTCGGTGGCCGGCGTGCACACGGACGACTGTGAGGCACTGGCTATCCCACCAAGCCCTGTGGTGAGCTTAAGCAAGCTTAGCCGTCGCATGCCCGCTAGCTTTGGTGACTACATCCAAACTAACTATATAGACTAGCTCCCTTGGCCACAGTCCCACACCAACACGACACATGATATTTCAATATAGTTCAAACAAGCCATCTCAGATCTCAGCCCAATACCAGCCTTATACCACCTGAATCTCTCCCAAAGATCCACATGGACAAGCACTCCTCCAGATTCTCCCGGGTCTCATCCACCAGACTCACCAATCTGTCCTGACTCAGCCGAGAGCGCTTGACATTCCTAGCTTCAAGAGGATTCTGTTCGAGAGTCAACCAAGCTGATGGGGTCACATCCATGGCCCAAATGCTGGGTCGCCACAAGAACAACCAACACTAGCATGTCCTGTGGTCCTTGCTAGTCCCTCATCCTGCCTCGTCCTGATGGACTTCCCTAGCTGCTATAGCCGGTCTGACAGGTTGGAAACTGTGTGGTTCCTGGTGGTCACTCAAATGAAAAAAGAGAGGATCCACGCCAGCACTTTGTCGTCTTGAAGGTATGGTCTTTTTTGCTGAAGATCTCTCATAAGAACATTCACCATCTCACAGCACTGAGTCATTGGAAATCGAGAGGCCCCAAAAATCCTGCATTGATCTCCACAGCCGATGTAGAAGAGTCCCACATGCAGAAGTCTACGAAGAACCGTTTGGCTGTTGGGGCATGTTGGGGCATTTAGCTAGCAGCTAACCGTGCCGTGCCCCGGAAACAAACCTACAAAAGGCCGGTTTGCAGGAGGACCCTACCGTCACCCCAGCCTCAAGCTCTTTGCACTGTGCCGTGACATGGGCTGCCAACACCTGCAGTTTGGCACATGTCACAATGTCAATGTCTATGGTGTCGGGTCTTTGAAAGGCTGGCGGCTCTTGTTGAACATGTACATGTATGTTGAACATGCACAAGTATGCATGGATTCATGAGGCATAAAGTCAAAACTTTTTCGTACGTCGGTTGCGTCCTCAAATCGGCGCAATACGTGTCTTGAGCTTCCCACAAGTTTTGCAATTTGTTTTGTAATACTTCTGGGGTTGGTTGGTGAACAGAACATAACAGAACCCCCAGGTGAATCTATCTAGATCAGTGGTTTAGGGTTGACATTGAGTATGTAGACTCATTGCATTCGCTTGCGTAGGCGGGTACAATGAACACATCGCGTTGCAGACTTCAGACAAACAAAGTACAGTATATGCTTGGTAGCCATGTTCATCAAACGCTGTAGGATCAGGTGCGGATCGAATTACCAAGTCCAATGTTCGCAGGTGTGGACGGTCAATATCGGTCTGTCACACTTCGTTTTTAAAGGGCTTCTTCCCTTACGATGTTTACACTGCATATGGAAAAAACACACGATTGGAAATTGATTTCAAGTACAATTGGTTGCTGGAAGCGGTGTTCCAATGTGTTCCACATTCCACACTATTGTGTAGCTGCACAAGGCCAAGATTGGCCGTTTTAGCTGAACAATGCTCAACAATACGTTTCAATGAAAGTAAATCTGTGACCTGCCAGATGAAACCCTTGAAAGGATGACCCTAAAGGCGGGAGCCGACGGGAGCCCCTCACATACCAAAAACATCCCGGAATCACGGTATCTTCATCGAAATGGAGGAGTGGTTCTGAATTCAAACGCATCAACTCCCTGGTCAATTGAGTCAATAGTCAATAGCCAAAAAACATGAAACTACAGTAAACGTTAAACAAACACCCAGGTGGAGGGGCTGCGCATGTCTAAGCTTTGTCCAAACGTTGCTTGTTTCCCACCGAAGAACACAAATGATCGAACATTGAACAACTTTAGGCAAGAAAACTACTGTGCATCTTGTGGTGGAAAAGAGTGGAAACAGACGTACCATGCCTCATATTGCTAAGTTTGGGGTGATGTTGATCTTACACGATAATTTTCAAAGTTGCAGTAGCCTTTGTGCAAAGAGGGTCTGGCTTGTCCAAACACCTGGATGGGACAAAAGACACATATTTATCGAATAATATGACATTTCTCAAAACAATTGATGAGAAAGATGCCCACACATATTGAAAGGTAAGACCATGGCAAACCACAGAACTGCAAATTGGAGCAAGGCTGCTTACCACAGCAAAGGAAAACCTCGAGATAAGTTTGCCCCTACCCTTCGAACCACTTTATTGATCGCTCGTTTCCGTGCCTGGCCGGGGACCCAGGGGGTCAGGAGATCCGCCGGCGGCAGCCTGGCTGAAAACACGTCGCTGAACATCAACGGGGCTTGGGGACCCCCAACATGACACCAACCTTATAGCAAAAGGAACCTAGTGGGAATGGCCTCCAACCTAATAGGAATGGCCTCCAACCTATATAATAGGAATGGCCTCCAACCTAATAGGAATGGCCTCGAACCAGACCCAAACAAGCACCACCACGTAAAAACTCCCAAGGTGTGCTACACGGGGAGAAACCCGAGTTCTGGATGTCAACTAAATACAACACAACTTACGACACAGCCCATGATGGTGAAGGGATAAATTGGACATCATTATTTTGTTAATCCCTCTCAAAGCACTTTGCAACCAAGGGGCATTGAATTGTGAGTACAATATTGCTATCTGCATTCTCCACAGATCGGGTGGTAAGCTTCCAATCGCAACACACATTCGAACACACACACACACACCAGTCGATTCACTCCGGATTGAGATCATGCTAGATACCTTCAAGATAGTGTCTCAAAGTGAGATCTGTACGTAGTGCCCCAATGAGCTTATAGCAACCAACCTGCACTCACAAATAATCTTCTCAAAGCTCTAGACAACACATGTGACGAGAAGTAGACAATTATTATTCCTCATGGTCTGCAAAACCATGAAATGGTTGGACATGAAAGTAGAACCAAGAAGACACGAACTGCACCCCCTCGTGGAACCCTACGTGCCTCCAAACCTCCAGGTCACTAAACATTTGCAGGAGGAGCTCCTTTGTGGACTCAACATCAGCAGAATCATCACTGCTGTCTTTGGTTCTACAATATAGCACCCTGCATCACCGTGTGTAGGCGCCGCGCTACTTTCAGCTTTGAATGTTGATATTTTTGAATAACAATGAATAACTGAATAACCCAATTGGACCCAAGGCTACCATAGCTTCCAGTTGGGATTTTCAGACTGTGGGGAACCTACCAGCAAGAGATGACGCCGGCTACCAGCAGTGCTCCTCAGCTCGGCGACGGCTACCAGCACCCACCAGCAAAACGCCCTCATGCTCGGTCCTGGCACGGTCCGGAAACTGCGCCACTTTGCCAAACCTCCGAAGTGACCTCAACCGGTAGGGAATATTGGGGAAAAAGGTGAAAGGAGCTCAAGTGCTCCATGCGTATATAGGTTTCTTGTTGGACAGGTCACCACAGTCATTCAAGTCAATCCACAAGCCTCATGGGCTTGCTGCACCCTCCATGGCGCAGAACATGTCTCATGGACCAAAACAAGACACTCAAAAGAAGGCAAGGTACCACAAGGACGGACTTGGTTCTTACCCCCGTGTACACCAACCAAACTTGATCAACGGGTACTGCCTCTCTTCACAGAAAGTCTATCATAGCATCCCACACAACCTCTTTGAACGCTCCCAGCACTCGGAAAAGGGCTGCTTTTCCAACAGCGGCCTCTGGATACAGGAACAGCCCTGGAGATCTCCCAGGCCAGGCAAAGAAGCCTCTTATGAAGGTCACATCGAGAAACGAGTCACAGAATGTCACTGATTTCAAACATGCAAACCGGCAAACCATACTTCCAGGAAGAACCTTGAAAACATGCCGTTACATGACATTGATCCTGAGGTTTCAAGCGTCAAGACCGATCGAATCAGTTGTCTGCAATGTCTGCAAGATCACAGGATCATCCGTCCTCGGTCATGGGTTCGGTTGCAGCATCTACATCCGTCAGCCACCTCTCCCTGGGGCACCCACCAGGGCTTTCCAACACCTTGCCAGGAACTTGAAGGCCTTCGCGGCATGCCAGGGCTTCGGAAGAAATCAGTCGTTCCACTCAGGGTCGAGTGGATTTGCGGCGTCGAGTGGATTTCTCACCTTTCCACCACCTGAATTTCTACATGGCAAGTGATTTGCGCAAGCTTAGATCGTTTTGACTCCATCAAAAAAGCACAAGTACCCATAACAAACACTCTAGAACCAGGAAGGTTACAGTACTGTATTAAGTGCATCCGATCTATGTATTCTACACCCAGCTCTTTGTGAACCGGAACATATAGCATGTGTCTCCCGGAACGGACCCTGGTAGCCTCCCGAATCATCTCTTGGTCGCGGCATTGCTTCCAAGATCCCAGTGGCCAAAGCCTGTCGCAGTTTCATCAAGTTCAAGTGGTGCCAAGTCTTGACAAAATCTACATGTATAACTTGTCTAGAACCACTGGTGGATAAATATACCTTATATATCGTGGTTTCTCGGATGCACTGGGATATTGGATTTGTAGCTTGGAAGTAAAAAAAATGAAGTCTACGGAGAAGTCCAGTCAGGGATCCCAAGGTGTGATCGAAGTATGTCCTTTTCCAATAGTGTGAGCACTGTGGGAACTTCGTTGTTGAAACCCGCAGCGGCGCAACCAGGTTTTCCGGCCTAAGGCAGAACAGTGGAAACGGGCTAAGGCTCTTGCCGAAGTAAAACAACTGGTGACGAAGCTTTCATAACACTCAGTTGTTCACCTTCCCACATCGCACATCCTCTGCCCTACCCCAGTCAGAAAAAAACTGTGAACAACTTGACCAGATGTTTGAAAGGTTTGCAGTATGTACGATACACCAACTCATTTCTGACAACTAAATGGAAGGGATTAATGAATTTACGCGTAAGGTGTGCGTGTTTGAAGCTGAAAAATCCTTTGACACGTCCGATGCTCGGTGATTTGGCTTGCCCACCTGGCCTGGCCATTTCATGCACCTCAAAGGAATTGAGAACAAACGAAGCAAATCGTGCATCAGTCACCATATGCTAAACATCCCCAATCAATCCGTCGGCCCATCGAACACAGTCGCATGACACCAGAGTGGTGAGCCAAAGATGATGTGAGCCTGCAGTGGCCGAGGTTCTGTTCGACCCATCCAGCAGCTGTCGTTTTTTTCGAGGCCACCACGAAGCCAGGGTAGTCCTGGTCTGTGTTCTGGTGATCAGTGGATGGATGACATGTGTTCAGCAGATTTACCAAACCTCGACCACCCTACTTTCTATCTGAAAATAGTCTGCGTGAGGAGATATGTGGATGCAGACTGCTCTGGTTGCTGGGAGTTGCTGGTTGAAATGACCCAAAGGACACCTCACAAGAGAATGGTTACACCTGAAATCGGATGCTTGTGGACTCTTGTAGCGATGCTTGTTGGACACCTGATATTGAGGTGAAAGCCACTAGTTTGGCAATTTGTAGGGTAAAAGAACTCCACACCTGTCCTTATGACATCTTATGACTAGAATCTTGAATCTTGAGTGACATTTAGTCCACAGTAACAGTTTGGTCGTGGTCCAAACCCTCCAAAATGCAGGTTTGGTCCCGGGCTCTGACTGATGAAGAGGTCCGAAACACTTGGTGTTCAATGACGTTTTTCGGACATGTTCGGACTATGGATGTTGTACTGTCCTTACGTGAGGACCGGTACCACCGCAGCATCACGGTGAAGGGTCACCGGATGCTTAAGGATCTTTGCTTGAAGAAACATGTTAGGCTTTATACGGCTTTCTCCCGCTTTGGCAATCTTTGGGGATCAAGGTGAATTGGATCACACATTCTTGCGGTGAATTGGCGCGCTGTAGCAGACCGGCACAAGAAGGACTTCTGTGATCCGCAGAAGCTGAACATCCCAAAAGTCATGCGGCGGGGTGATTCTTCACACCACGGCTCAAAGCACATGGATCTGCTTGAACCTTCTCATCATGCCTTTCCATCCAGGAGCGTCTGCCATCATCAGCCTGTCCTCAGGTGTGGTCCCCTTCAAACGGCTGGGTGGCAAGAAATGGCGCAGCCTCAGCACATCGATTTCCACCGAGTCCTTCCGAATCAAAGAGAGGTCATTGTCATTTGGTACATGGACAGATCTGTTTGCACGAGATCGTGTTCCGTCGGGCTCTTCTGTTTGCACCTGGGTGTTCTTCAAGTACTTGCACGTAGGTTTAGAACAGTTTGAGGTGGCATTTAATTACAGTACATGCATGCCTTTAACACGTTTACCATTTACTGGAATCTCTCGCAAACCATCCCAGTAGTATCACCCTGGTGGAACAACCCTTCATAGCCCAAATACCATATACCATCATACAATCATACACCTTACCATTCTCATGACAACCACAGAAGCGTTTGGGTGAGGGAGTTCAATCCTGAAGCAATAGAAGCACCAAATCTGGGACACTCTTTGGATAACCACCACGTGCAAATCGAGGCGCAATACCTTGCGGGCCAAGAATAAGGAATCCTGGCGGCTGACCATTGGCGGTGACGGTCAAGGCACACCCTGCTTGACACTATAGTTGACCCTCCCACATCGAAAAGCACACACCATACATTCCAAACGCCCTCAGTGATGTCAACTCATGTCTTGAGTGAAGTTGCTTTGTCGTTGGCCAGGTCCTGGAAGCGCCAACCGCGAAAAACCACACGTTTATGGGATCGTTCATGAGATCGGAGAACTATTGCAAAAGGCCAGGACGAAAGACTACCTGACACTCTGAAAAAGTGGTCAAGTCTGAGGGCAAAGAATCTATGTAGCACACAAAAGCAAATACATAATAAGTATCTGATTGAATTATACCAGGTGCAACATGTAACAACTGTTTGGGAATTTCAGCCTTGATTCTGTCTGATGAGCCTTCTGTTGTTTCACCAGGCTTAGAAGCCAGCATCAGCCAGCCACATGAACAAATTGCATTCCATAATCCAGTTCCTAACCATTGACCACCTTCACGCCCTCCTGCACCACTGACACCCACGCAGCCGTGCGTGCCCAGCCGTGCCAAAGCGCCACGCCCAGCGACCTCCGTTCTTGGTACTTTGCCCAAGAGCTTAGGATCCAACCTGATCGGCCACCAGGTGACTCAGGCGGTCAAGCATGGTTTTATATGGTTTTGTTCTGCTTCTTTCTCCTGGAAGACGGCGATTCCAAACCTTTGAGATGGTAGGATGGCCAACATGCCAAATCGTGGACGAGGTCTCCTTGAAACATGCGTTGAATTCTATTGGTTCACGTTGATGGCATGGCGAGAACAGTCAAGTTGTGTCACTTGGTCGAACGGTGCTTATCCGAAACCAAAAAGAGGATAACGATTCCAGCGCAATGATTGCAGGTGGATTCAACGATCCTTTGAGGTTGCTAGAACAGAACCCCGACCATTTGGCAAGATGGTTTGTTGTCCCGAAGCTACTACAAGTAGCCTACGACCACTAGCTCACTACAGTCTAACTGCTCGAACCGTCTTTTCACAAGGCCAGCACCGCACCGGTCTGAGGCGCCAGTGGTTCCCCGCATGTGGTGCCAGCTGCATCCCACCATCACTCGTGACTCTTGTGGATGTTGGCATCCGAACCCGCCATCCCACGGAGAGGTGGAGGCCTCGTCCTGTTGGCTTTGCAGGTCGTTGCAGGTCACCTTTGAGTTAAGAGAAAACTTTTAGGTGATCAGGCATGCGGCCAGTTGGCACAACTCATCGAGACTTGATGTGAGCTCCGGATGTTTGACCCACCGTTGCAGTCATCAGCTGCATGATCACAGGAAACAAATTCAGAACAATAAACAAGTGCATTGCTCTCGATGCCTCGCCCTTCAAAGGACCCTTCCACTTTTGCAGCGGAAATTTCAGGATGGGAGACAAATGGGGGTAAGACATGCACTGGTGTATCCAGGAATAAAACGTTTTCTAGCCCCAATCAGCATTGGCATGCATTTGCCACCTCTCCCCATTTTCCTGTGATTCGCTCAAGGTTCCGTAAGATGGCTTCAATAACTTCTTGAATCTTGATAGCCCAAACGGAAGCAGACTCCAAAGAACGGCCGGAATGCTTAGTGGGATGCTCTTGCTCAATGGATTAGGCATTTGTCCTATCAAGAGGCCCTCCTTGGCCCTCCCAGAAAAAAAGGCGGTATTTATGGACCCCGAAGATCAAGTCCCAAACCTTCATCACTGGAGCCAAAAGGTCTTAGGTCAGAATGCGCAAAGTGGCACAAATTCCGAAACCCCAAATTAAGCTTTGGTGGACATGTCACCGATATTGAACCACTTCCAAGTGCCCTGTGGTACCACGGTTCCTCCATAAATCCCAACGATCTTTGGGTCTCAAGGTTTGCGTAAGAAAAGGTCTGTATATCACAGAGTCTTTGTCCCAATCAAAGGTTTTCCTGTGATCTATCTTTAATCAATAACAATCTTCAAAGGTGGGATCAATCGCATCCGTACAAAGCCGCTGTCCTGACAAAGGAACCCACCTTGGGGGATGAAGCTGACCTGGAGAACGAACGCTCAAACGTCGATCATTGGCCAATGTTTGTTTGGCAAATGAAACACTGTTTGCAAACAACCAGCTAGTTTTCCAGGTTCCATGTCATTTTTTCAATTTCACTGAACAGCAAAACTGTGGTCCTAGCACGTCCTACCTACCAATCAATGAACTAATCTTGTCCGCTCCTTTATCAAAAGGGCTCCTACCTAGCCGCCTGGTCTTCAATACGTAGTGCAATTCTGAAGATCGGTCGGAATTGGAACTCTCGGGCTGCAAGCAAAACTAGTATCGGTGAGTTTCGGGGTCAGTGGGTTTCTCAACATCCCCGGCAACAAACACAAAACATAGGGAACAGGAAAGAACAGGAAGTTCCCCAAGCACAACAAAGAGCTCGAAGACGCATTGCATTGCTGTGTAGGGAGATCGTTGGTCCAGAAGCATCCACTAACTGTGAACAGAATTGACTATGAAACCTCAAGATTGAGATCTGATTACCTGTAATTGAATGAACTTCATGTACTGAACTGAACATGTTTTTGTCCTTTCAACACACATATGTATATTAATGTATATTATATCCTGAAAGGCTGCGTTCTTTGCAAAGGCTGGAATTGGTCCAATAGAAATTGAAATGGCATCTCTGGATATCTCTCATATCTACAACCAGATCTCCTATCCATCCACATCTATGCACCTGGAAGAGCTCTTCAGCTACCTGGCACAGCGCACGATGAAGATGACTAAGTCTTGCATAGCAAGCACGTCATTGGTTTTGGAAGGTCCAGCGTCGTGTTCATAACAGGGCTTAAGTCTCTTTAGCTTATAACTATATCGCATGGGCCTGGAACCTGGAACGGGCCGTGCTCAGTGTAGCAAAGCTCATCGCATGGTTTGGTACTCTCATATCGCGTGAGCAATTGCTTTAAGGATGAAACAAGAAAAAAACATCTCTGGACCTTAAAGGTCATCTACCTGCACGTTCTTATGTTTTATGCGTGAAAGAATCTTAAGAAGAGATTGTGCCAGCAAGTTCGTGAACCTATGCAGGATTGCTTTCCAGAACCTCCAAGCAAGGTCATTGTGGGCATGGCAGTGCAAAGCTGTTGAAGTGCTCAGTTTCAAACAGGGGCATAAGCAACAGCTCGAAAACACTTCTATAAACACGACGTACTGCATCCACGTTCTATAAGAACCTCCCACAAAAACAGAGCGCTGAACGGATCCATGCAAAATTGGTGACTGGGGGTATCAGTGTCAAATGCGGTTCTTTTTGCTGTGATAATATTTAACTAGATGCACTTGATTAGTTTATCCAACTAGTAAAAAACAATATATATATATATATAGTAGCATAGTGAAAGTTAGAATGGGGTGTCAATTCCCAAAAAT